ACTTTCAATTTGACTCGAAACTAGTGACGCCGTTACATATCTCGTCACAGGTGATTGTAACTAGTGACGTGAAATAACGCTCACGTCTAGAAAGAAGACTGTGTCATTGGAGGTCATGCACTTTATTTTTGTTCGCACGGATTCTGTTTTTAGTTGTGTTTCTTTAATAATCAGTACTACTGTTAAAATCTAATGCTAAGTAATATGTATAGTTATGTGTTGTAATAAACCGGTATGTGCTGTGTCTATAACAAGACTATGGAAAGAATAAATTTAATTTAAAACTTGTGTCAAATAAACAGCAAACGTAATTTTGTTTCAGACGTTCCAAGGAAAAACGTAGTGATGGCAGATCAATTCTGTTTACGTTGGAACAACTTTCAAACAAATATAGTGAGTGCCTTAGATTCTTTAAAGTGTTCCGAAGATTTGGTCGATGTCACGCTAACATGTGAAGGTAGAAACATCAAGGCCCACAAAGTGATACTCTCCGCGTGCAGCCCGTACTTTAGGAATGTGTTCAAGGTGAATGACTCGGGACATTTATAACCTTCATATTCCAACTATTTATATTAAAACTTAATAATAATATGGTTATTTACAATCAATTGATATAATACCATAACCTTATTGTTGATTTTCAGGAAAATCCATGTCAACATCCTGTGATTATTTTGAAGGATGTTTTAGCTGATGATATTGTCAGCTTATTGTCTTATATGTATCAAGGAGAGGTGTTTATTGAAGAGAGTAAACTGTCGTCGTTTTTGCATACTGCAGCCTTATTACAAGTTAAGGGGTTAACAGGTGTTGCACACCAGGTAAGCTACATTTTGCCCTGATTTTGTATGTTTGAATTAAGAGACTTGTTAAATACTCTTACTGATTAAAAATATACAGAACATTTCAACTTTCTCACATTAAATATTATTAGTACTTGTAATAGTAATAATATTTATGAGAAAATTGGATGGATGTTTGTTACTATGTCTCTAAAAAACATTTTTTTAATTCCCATTCTTGGCACAAGTTATAATAAATTAGTTGGCTAGTTAAATAGCAATTAAAAATAAGCATTTAATAGCAGATATTAGTAAAATTAATATTTATAGAAAAATGCTTACACACACTTAACCTAATTTATATTTTATTTTAACACAATAAATATGTTCTAAAATTTACATATACAGAAATGTATTAAAGTGAAGCTGTAGGCTAGTTTGCTTATTTGCAAATTGTTCAGCTCTCCTCCATACTAGTATGAAACTGTTTTATGGCAAGGCAGGGTCGCCATTTTACTTTGAGAAACTACTAAAAGTTTTTAAAGGAAAAGCAAAATACACAAATTAATGTAACATAATGTAATAGTAATAAAAAAAAGAATTTAAATTACAAATTTTCAATGTTTAATTATTACATTAAATGTTTCTGTGTTACACAAATCAATTCGTAAATCTGTATTATGTTTTCTGTTGGTTATGTTAAGGCCTGACTCCATGAGATTCGGTTGCGAGGAATACTGTTCTCCACTCAGCGCCCAAATCATTATGTTTACTCTTGTAATTTTACTTATACTGTGATCTTTTTCTTATTATTTTTTAGAATGAAAACTTTTCATCGCCAAGGACCACAACAAAACTGTACACACAGTTGACCATATCTTCTAAGTCCAACCTTGGTACTAATGTTACCAAGGAATCAAAAGTCCCGGCTTTAAAGAAAAGGCGTTGCAGTACATCTGATAAACCTAATGATATAGTAAATGTTGAGACAAATAAGAAGTCTAGGATACGGGAACCATGTGATGTATTCAATAATCATAGTGATTCACAAACAATCAAAGTCGACAATCCTGTATTTGGGGTGGAAAATCATGTGGATAAAAAAAATGAAAGCAAAGAAAATCAAATGGTTACTGCCAATGGTAAAAGCTCAACGGCGACACAGGTATTCAGATTTATAAAATTGTATTTTATTCTCCTTGATAATATTATAGCTATAGTTCATTAAAATTCTTGGTCTTAACAGAGTCAACGCTTTATTCACTTTTTATTTAGTTATTCTATGATAAGAATCATTTGCCTCTGATTTTCTCATTGAGTTGCAGTTGAGAGTTAGTGCCACTAATCTTTTTAATAAATATTATTTTTTCAATTCTAGGGAAATGCTCAAGAAGATGTGCCAGTATCAGTCAAAACAGAATGGATCGATGAAAATACTTCAACTTCTGGTGCTCCGCTAGTAAACTCTGAAAATGATGATAGTCTTCCTGATTATGAGAACAGCATGCTTGCGAGATCCTTACTCTCAGGTAGCTATAAATATGTTTAAAGTGGTAATAAAAATTGTAATATAATTATTAATACAAAGTAAACATGAAAACAAGGTTTGTTAAAGATAGTTTGTTAAATTTTATATTACAGGTATAAACCCATCAAAAAGTGATGCCACACTTAACAATCCAACAGCTAAAAAGGTTCCATCAGTTATTGAAATGCATTGTAATAGGCATAAAGAAATAAATACGGATTCTCCTACTTTCCCCAACACCATATCAAAAAGTCCAATGAAAAGTTCAACAGAAGATACTTTAGTGAAAACAGAAAAGCATTCACCACACTCGGAAATGGAATATGAGCCTGAAGTGTTACTTTCTGAACATCAAGGTGGTACGGACAGCGAGAACACATATACACAAGAGCAATCACAAGCCTTACTTCTATTAGCAGGTATGTCTGGTGCACCAGTATTAGGTTCAGTTGCATCAACATCTAATCATGCAGCCATCTGCGGGGACTGTCCTCACTGCGGTATGAAATATTCCAACCAATCTGCATTAAAATATCATGTACGATTAATGCATTCAGATCTGACTAATAGGTTATGTTGCTATCTTTGCCCGCGGTCGTTCACAATGAGAGAAACATTTAAAGAGCATATGTGGACAAGCCATGGACAGAGGAATTAAGTATGAAAATGAGTGCCTTCCTTTGGTTTTTTTGTAAAATTTTATATAGATATATGAACTGTTTGTGCCTTTCCCAGTCTTGATACATATTGCTATATTTAGTGAATGTCACAATTATTACGTGTAATAAGGGTTTAATTGGAGTGTAAGCCACATTCAATCATGCATGATAAATTTATGGCTTGTAATTCCACTTTGGTCATCTAAAACATAATGATGGTGAAATATTTAATACTTTATTGTTAAATTACAATGGCCCGGTGACATTTAAAAAAGATGTTAAATCAGCCAGGTTCAATTGCAATTGACCAGTGTCCAAAAAAAAAAATTAAAAACACTACAGATGCTCAGATCTAAGAGGTGTCCTATTTCAGTGCCTCGATTGATATCATCAGGTACCAGTCATTTGTCAATCACACTGGATTCCGTCTATCTAGTTAGTTGCTATTTAAGATTTAAATCTTTTTTTTTATACTTTCAATTATCTTCAAGCTTGACATTGGCAAAATAATTGAAATAATGATGGGGTCCACTATTCATTAAAAGAAGAAGAGTTTGCATAGTTTTAACTTAACAGATTGAATCTTTAGTTTAAACTTTCAGACCTGAGTGTCTGAAGTTACTTTTAGATGTATTCCAAATTCCCTTAAAGGGGTGTGCCTTTGGGTTTTCAGTTTATTTATTGTCATAGTATTATATGATACTACGATACCTTTAAGTCACTTAACCAACTGCGATCTCTTGACATAAATTGGATGATAAGGGAGATAAAAATTATTGAAAAATGCAGTATGTGCCTGTAGGTGCTTATGCTAGTGTGGTGCTATTCAAAAAAATGAAAGCACTATTCTTGTAAAATGTAATTCGTAGGTTTTACAAATTTTAATGAGATTTTTTCCAAATCATGTACTATCATGTGTAACCTGTGGTGGGTTGAATATATAAGAATTTATAATATTTATAAAACTTAATTATTTATCAATGATAAAAGTTAGTGCGCACAGAAAAAGTAAAATGGTATTGTATACAGTTGTTTATAATCTGTGCATTGAGAATATAATTTAGATCTGTGTATAAAAAATCTACATCAATTTTAATGTAGTTCCAGAAGTTCTGGATTGGTGTGATTGGAACCATTCAGGTTAATTAAATCAGGAAATGATTGAGATGCAAAAGACTCACAGCCTTACAAATACACTGAGTATAAGCAAAATTTGTACTATTATTTGCTTATACTCAGTTTATTCCTAAATTTAACTTTACAAGGCGTTTTTTGTAAGGCTGTAGATCTTTGACCATATTTAAGATTGTTTTCTTATGAATGAATTGAATATTCTTTAATAAGATAGTTATTGTGTGACCAAATAACAAATTTTATTTCAAGTTGTTTTGTTACCATACCGTTACCTTAAAATCAACTATTCTTTATTCAAAATATAATTATCGTGTAGTGTAATATATTTATTAAGTAACCATTTTGTTAAAATAATAGTAAAGATATATCTTGGTCAGTTTTGTTACACCCTGTTACTATTTCGTATATGTTTTTAGACATTTTATTTCGAAGATCGGTATTGGTATAATGTATACATATATTTTAAACTAACTCCAATATCGGGATATAGTAAAAACCTTTTGCAGTTTGTTTATGATTCACTTTTGACATAGAAGTGTAGTGCTTACGAAGCATTTGCAATGATGCAAGTTATGTTTACAATTTCACTCGTAGTATGTATCGCATTAAATTAATGAATGGACATTTTTAATATTTAGGTCACAATGTATTGCATCATATTAACATTTGTGACATTACAAAATTAACCTTAAATGGACATTTTAAAATAATTAAAAAGACGACGAGCAGCAACGAGGAGCGCGCGAAGAAATAAAAGTAAATAGTCGAACTAATAACTTATAATGAAAATAGAAAGAATTTATATACAAATTGAAAATTATATACAAATCAGCCTAGCAAACGTTATGACATTTTATTGAAGACGAATGAATTATTTTAGAAAAAGAATAAATTAAAAAATATAAATTCTAATTTTAAAAAAGTATAAAAAGTAAAAACATAACAAAAAGGTTAATTGCATTGCCAACAATCATCAAATGGTACAATTCAGGCTATGTCAAATGCGATCCATACATAAACTTAAATAGTTCTATTAAAAACCGTAGCTGGTGTATGGAGGAATACATAGTGTACTACATAGCAGAGATTATTATTTATAGTTTGACCAAGAAAATAGAAAACCTAGCGTCTGAATCGCAATCTTTTAATGTGCGAAGAATTTAGTTTCATATCGCGCTTCAATATTAGGTGTTTTTTCCGGTCAAGCTATATTTAAAGTGAAATGTTTCGTTGCATCGGTGAAAATGTGACATGAGTTTTGGCTTTTGTAAAAATTGCAACCAGTATTTTCGAATAGACAATAAAATTGGATGGAGTATTATCATATAAATGTGATTCGCCTATAGAGAAATGGTATTAATTACGTATTTATGCTTCCAAATCCTTTTGGTAAATTGTGCCAAAAAGATTTTAAAACAATTGTTATTATATTATTAAAATTTGATTAATTTTACTATAATTTAATTGTTTAGTTTTTTAATTTATTCATGTCTTTCGTTATATTATAATTTTCTTTAATATTAAGGTTTATCGGAAGTTAATGTATCGGATTCTTGTTTATACTTACCGAGTCGGTAATGCCATTAGTGAAATCTTAAATTATTATAGTTTAAAAAATAAGGAAAACAATTATATTTACAGCGTATACAAATAGGGATAATTATGTCTTAAGTAGAATAGAGTTTATGTATTGTTGAATAGTTTATTCAAGATTTTACAAAATTTATATTTTAATGTTACGAATAAAAGATGCTTCTACATAATTGTTTTTTTTTTATTTCCCATATAAGACTAAAATTTCACCATCCATAAGCGCTAAAATAACGCAGTTTATAGCCTATCCATTTATAGCAGTCAGTGTCTACTATAACCTAGCCGAAATAGTTAGTTTAGGTTAGTTTAACTAGTTTGTTTTTTTAGCCAATTCAATAAATAAGAATAAAAAGAGCAAAAATCAAAAATGTACGGGATCTAGCAGTTGAAAAAAAAAATGCCTAATAAAACGATTTTATCTAAAAGTGAGAAGTCTGCTGCTTATTTTATGGCCGCTGAAGATAGAGCAATGGTTTTGAGCATCCTAATATTACAGTAATGATTTTGCTTCCAAAGCTGCTACCTCAACCTATGGATTCTAGGTTTTTCAGCTGTACTATATTGAACGATTCTTTAAAAACATACTTGAAGCCTTGAAATTTGGACATCGCTAAGTGCCCACGTAAAATTATCATTGGAAAACCTGGTTCTATACATTGAAGTTATGCTGGAACAAACTATGTAAGAAGATATCTGCCGTAAGGCTTCAAGGATTTAGATAAAAGGAAAGGAAGGACCTCGTAAGAAGAACCTAATCTGGAAGAACACATAGGCTACTTACTAAGATTTTTTTACATTCGCGCGTACACAGTCGCAGACGAAAGCCAGTTGTCACAAATAGTTACATTCTTATAGACTTTTTCTTCGCATCGTTTTGCAATTCTTGGTATTTTAAAAATCTTTGTGCAAATGTCTTTAATTCTCATTTGATTGATAGATAAAATGCGAAAAGTTAATAAAACCAATCTTTATCTTGTAATTAAAGATCGATTACAGTTTTTAAACATTGGTAATAAAATGAATAGAATAGCTGTAATGTTTAATGCTCTTGTGCATATAAGGTCGTTTTAAGTTACAATCAGAACGTTGACAAAGTATAAAAACACATATTCGTACTGTACTATTATTCCTTCAAGAACAACATCAAAGAATGTTAAGGTGAAATCAAAACACCACATAGAATTATTATCTTTATTAGTTACAGATGAATTGTTGATTGATTTATTAATCTTATTTCTAAACTAGCTGTCGCCCGTTAATTTCATTAGCGCAAAACAAACTGTTACGCCATTTTGATAGCGCGGAACTAAAAAAAGTAGCTACCGCTGACAGGAATAGGTATTATCCAAGTTACATTGTATAATATTTTCCAAGTATTTCCAAGTTTCATTGTATAGTGTTGGTATTATAATATTACCGTCACTGCAGTACCCTGCAGTGACGGTCCCGTCGAAAACGGCCCAGCCGTTTCGGAGATTGTCCGGGACAAACGCGACTTGCGGACAGACAGACAGGCAAAAGTTTTTTAAATGCGATTTTCGTTATTAGCAACGCAAATACATCATCTGAAATCTGGAATTTTTCTTTTTATATTACAAATAGACAAACCATTTTTTATATGTATAGATATAGATAGATATTAGAGTGTTAAAGGTTAATCAGTAGTAGCGGTTTGAAAGGAATAATGTTTCAGGTTAGAAACTGCAGTAGCGGTATTTGAAATGCATAATGACATACGAGTAGGATACGTCTAGTGACGTACGCCGTGTCGAGTGTAGACAGTGTGGATGTGTAAAGGCGTTCGAGGAAGCCCCTCAGTGCGGAGACAGGCCGCTGGGACGCTATTGATCGTCATCCGCCGTCAGCGGCGAGCGCCCTATTGATTCGCCGCAATCTGCATGATAACCCGCGCTTGGCTTCTCTCTTCTGTTCGCACTATATATGAGAACATTGCTTAGCGGAAAATTTGCCTCGTTACAATTTTTTTTTAAAATAATTCTAGTAAAAATTAGAACTCGTTTAAAAAAATGTATTAGTATTGTACGTTTTACAATTAATATCTCCATACAAAAATGAACTTAAAATTAAAAGGACATAAAAAGTTAAATGCTAAATGCTTATCTTATGTTAATCTTCGCAGTAGTCAAGTTTGATTGACATTTATTTTTAATAGTAGTATAACCAAATATATTTATTTAAATAATATTCTGTAAGTTAAATTAGGAACCGTGGATTTTTCACCAATTAATAATCAAAACTATTCAACGTTTTTCGAAAATCCAATTTTGTCTATTGACCTTATAAGTTTTGTTTTTCAGTATACTCGTAAGTCTGTACGCTTTGAATCATTTTTCTAAAACGATTATGAATTTTTTTTAAAACAACCTATAATGACCTATAGCATTCTTGAACAGCCTGTAATACGCGTAAAATATAAATTATGAATAACTTGTCATTGTATCGACTTACATAATTTTGTAATATCATATTACATTGGAGTATTCTACCTGAATTGCAGTCTCTAATTTCAATCGCGCGGGCAAACGAAATAAAGAAAGCGATATCATTCCATCTTTGTCTCCTGCCGGCTGAAAAGTTTGGCGCCAATTCGAATTCAATTTGATTGGCCGTGAAAAAGCAAACGTAACTTTTAAATTTACTTTTAATACATATAAAATAAAAATATGTTTAAACTCAATACATTTAATATAATTATCCTCTTAAAAGTAAGCACAAGTTGTAATGTAAGTTGTAATATAATGTGGAAATTATTACGAGGGTAATTTATAACCTCTTTAGTAAATACGTCGTTGGCTCTTGTTACTAGACTTGGCGAATCGTGGAACAAAAAGGGATCAATAGCAATGTTCGTTATTGATTAACGGTTAGTTTGAACCTGTAGCACGTTGTAAGAACTAATCTATTCATTTTCATGTTGCGATGCATTTCCAGATACAGCCAGTTATTGTTAAAACGCTTTACTATGGTTTTAATATATTTTAAGCAAGAAATTAACAAAATGCTTGAATATATTTATGAATTGTTGCTAAAATAAAGTTTCATGTGTCTATATTTAGTTGATATTAATATAAAGCTAAGCACACAATCGATTAAAATATAAGGTCAATTGTACACGACGTAGTAAGGGCGGCAAGGTTCAAATCGTCTTCGGAGTTTAGCAAGTCGGTCTGTCAATGAATATTCATATTGGTGACAGTCTGAAAGTAATTTCGACTGCCTTAGAATGAAAATATTTACATAAAGCTTAGTAATGATTATTCACATTTTCACAGTCAATTAAACAAAGTTTTTGTCGCGTAAAATGAGACGACTTTTTAGAACAAGGACGTAACCACTCATTTTTATAGTTATCTTGTTTTCATGTTAAGTGTAAAATCATACTTCATACTTTCATACAAATATTATAAATGTGAAAGTTTAGATGGATAGATGTTTATTAGAGTTTGTTGCTTTAACGGCTAAACGGACACAAATGTGTATAGTATAGTTTGGAAGAACATAAAGCTTACTCATTTTTGTTTTTTTTTTTTAAATTCCACGCGGACGGAGTCGCAGGCAAAAGCTAAATACATATATTTATATGCTATTTTTTAAATATAGCATTAGTTAGTAGCTATAAATAGGAGACCATGTAATATGTCTCAAGCTAAAAGTACTTATCCAGTGAAATAGTAAACTTACCTGGTAATTTTGTAATTTGATGCAAAGCATAATTGTTTATTCGTATCGTAATTGTTGCGTAATTAATATAGACTAAATATTTAAAAAAAACAATATTTGTTAAAGCATTATAGGCTTTAAAATTACAGAGATAAGTATGTAAATTGGTTTAGTAATAGTTTTGTAATAAGCATAAATAATGTAATGCAGTAAGAAACGCCAATTCGAATTTTGCAAGTCTGTCTACTCCTTTGGATTACGGGAGTATGTTGATTATAGGGACTAAGGTGGTGCATATAGTGTGTCTACGCACGGGAGTACTCTCGGCTCACGGTATACTTGTAAACAACTATACACTACACATAGTATCCACATGTCTAGTAAAAGCGAAAGTAACAATTTGTTATGTTTTGACTAGGTTTGCTACCTAAATCAAAAGTCTGGCTCGTTTTTGATTTATTTCGTCTACAATATATAGCATTAAAATTAATTATAAATTTAATTATTGGGAATTATAACTTTATTTAAAAGGAAAAAGTCGTTTTAAAGTTTACTTTTTAAGTTGTCAGAATGACTTCGGTAACTTTTTATTTCTACCCTCATTCAAATAATCAAAAACAATACGCGAGTATCAGCTAGTACATATTATTTCCAAGGTTTTTAAAAAGTTTTGGCTTCACTTGAAGGATAAGTTATATTGATCCCTATAATCTAACACCAATCAGTTTATTCTACCTTGATAGGATTGCAATAAAGTGTTTGTAAAGTGTCAAGTCAAAGTATTTATGTGGTGAAATAAAAGTGCGGTTACGGAGGTCTATCGCTGTGAGGCAGCTGCGGGGTGCGGGGTGCGCGGGGCGCGGAGGGCGGTGCGCCGCAACACTATCGCCGATATGGGTCACTGACGCCTACGCGCGATTCGATTAAACTTTACAAGTTTTCGCCACCTGGATACAAGATGTGCGAAATGCAACAAGTATTTTAAATACCTCCTCAAAATGTATATAAGCATCTACTAGAAAGTACTGAAAAGTTGGCAAAATAATTGACATATTATTTAAGGATCCTGTTTTACAATTCGACTAAACTGTCGTGCAACTAAAAATAAATCTTCAAATTGTACGTCATATATATAGTTATTTTTTTATTAAGCAGCATAAGTATGAAGTACTATCAAGCGACCGTTATTTGAACTTGTAAGAAGTTTGAAATCAGTTTGCTTAACAGTAAGAATATTTTTGCGTACATCCAGCGAAAGTGTGTACTAATTAATAGTGCAAAGTATCGATCAATTGTTTCACCATGGTTCTAAATATAAAATTCCGTGGAGGAAGACAAAGTTCGCGCGCAACACGGGCGCGGGCAGGCGTGCGGGCGCGGGCACGCGGCAGCGTATCGATTGCGCGCCTTCAGTCGACGTCGAGCGCCCAGCGCCGCGCTGCGCCGAGCGCCGAGCGCCGGCAGCGCGCCCCTCGCCCTCCGCCCCGCCCTGCGCCCTGCGCGCCCGACGCACTCCCCGCACGCCCCGCGCCCGCCGCACCATGCCGCACCCCGCCGCAGCCCACCGCACCGCGCGGCTCTCTCGCCGTCGCCGGCAAACTCGAACGACCTCTTTACGCTAACTAACGTCGCAGCCGCGCAGTTTCCCGCCGCGTAACTCCGTACGAACTCACGATACTTTGCAATTGTTGTTAAGTACTATAAACTAATCGTTTCGAGTGCTTTTTTATAATGTATGGGGAGAAAAAAATATGTTTTTAATGTTATCAATAGATAATAAGTAGGGTGAAGAGTAAGAGTAATGCGGGTGATTCGGGTGATGTTAGTCCTTGGGGCATGGGGCGGGGCGGCGCAAGACGCGCGGGCGGCGATTACGCCGCCGGCTGCGTAGGCGCACCATGGACTGCTGCAAGTACGGCGAGGTGCGGCGCCACGGGCAGTACGCGGCCTGGGAGGGCTACGGCTACGCTCCGCCCTACGCGCCCTACGCGCCCTATGCACACGCCTACTGCCCGCCGCACGCGCACGACCCCTACGCCCGCTACTACCGCTACGACTACCCTGCTGCCGCCGCCGCCGCGCATACGCACCACAATGAACATGCTATGTCTATGGGTAAGTATTACAATAAATCTATCAAATATTAAATTACTACTGAACATTATTAGCAAACATAATTACCAATCATTGCTTATTTATAAAATTTTACAAGGAACGTGATTACCCCTACCTCACTTTGTAAAGTTGGCTTTTGTTAATTTTCGCAATCATGGAAATTATAACTTTCTTCGTCAGGTTAGGGTTGGAGAGTTGAGAAATTTTCGCTCAACAATAAGCGCTTGCAAAGTTTTAAAAAGTTTATATGGTTTCGTATCGACGGTTGTTCTTGGAAATTTTTACGATTATGATGTCTTAAACAGGATTAATTGAAGGAAAAATACTAGAGTATTTCATTATAATTTTTATCTTAAATCTTTACATTTCGTATAACTAAATTTAGGCTAGTTGTCTACTTGATTATAAATATTTTTTAGAATAGGAATAGGAAATAATGTGGTGGCATTGATCCAGATGATAAGATTACAGAATAATATAAAACTCTGGAAATGTACAATACATAAATATTCTCTGAAGAAAAAACTCTATCTATTTAGTATAGGTAATCAGTTGTGCAGTTGTATCATAATTGAATTACAAACATGTTTCACGATCTCTGTTACATTGCAATTCGGCTGTGGTAGTACAATGAGCGCGCGTTGCCTCGAGTTTTGTTTACCAATACAACAGAGATCGGAATCTGCACGCGCGCCGCGCGGCGACATTCTGAACAATGAAGAATGAACTAAGAATTCATGTTTACGTTTGGGCGGATTTCTCCGCGTCTACGTCACGTGTCGATAGAGGACGAGCGAGGCGCGGCGAGGGAGGGAGCGGGGCGTGCGGGAGTGGCGGTGGGGGGCGAGGTCGGCTCTACAGGTGGTCGCCCCGCCACCGCCCGCACCCCTCTGGTGCGATTGATTGCCCGCACGGCGCGCAGCCAGCGCCACCGTACATATCGAGCGGCTGACGTCCGCGCCTCGTCCGCGCCTCGCCTGCGACTCGCCCGCGGCCCGAACGAGCCGCTACTGAACCAGACGCCGTTCCTACTTACACTATGCAGATGTGCGCTCGCTTTGAACTTTCGAGGTTGAATTTTTATGCACCCCGTATATTTTACATATGCAATTGCGTCTCGACTGCATCTTACTTATCTCTGATTTTTTCATTCTTTTAAAACAAAGATTTTTACCTATATTTTGCAACTATTACGAAAGTTTAAGTAAAAAACTAAACGATACTACATTTTACAAGTATAGGAACTGAAGATTCTTTCAAAGATTCTTCTTGCACAGATTCTTCAGTTGCCAAGTCCAACTGCTTGTTTCGCAATCCTGCAATGCAAATAGATGTGAAAACGTGTAGTTTTAGGTTAGAATACTCCATTCATTAAGTCACATAAAATTTCTGTCAACAATAAAATTAACAGTATTGCTATTTTTGGAGAAATTAGAGATAATAATTAGAAAAAGCATATTCAAAAAATAGCATGAATGAAATAGAGTAGGCAAAACGGGATAAACAACATAATTAATGAATATGGAGATAAGACGTTTTAACACGCAATTTAACTTGGTCGCGACATTAAGCGATTTGTATTACAATTTATATCGTTAAATCTTTCTGAGATGTTACGCGAGACAACCGTACTGAATACTTAACTTTTGAACTTGTTCTTTGTATTGTAGGCGAACATTAAGAGTAAGGATGTAATGTAAAACGTAAAGGGGAAATAAAATGTGATGTATAACCTTACAAGCCTTACAAATAAACTGAGTATAACCAATTATCACTACAAATTTTGCTTATACTCAGTTTATTCCTAAGTTTAACTTTATACCCCGTTTATTTGTAAGGCTGTATGATTTTAAATTTACGCATTTATTTTATTTCGAAACCTAGATTGGTAAAGATTTTGAATTTCCATTAGTCGCAATAACTGCACATTCATATATTGATCTGTCGTATATTATAACTATTGCTTACATAGTACGTATAACTAACTAGCATATATATATATCAGTAATCATTCGCTAACATATCTGAAGATTGTATTTAATATTACTAATGTTATTTGCTAAATCTAACTCTCTCTCGCATTACCAGTAGATTTTGATATTATATAAAATTACGAAATTAAATTTAGTATATGTCTAGAAGTCCTTTTACTATGTAAAAGTACCGCGCGCATCGGTACTAGGGTCGCATAGCAACAACTATGGCCAAGCGACGCGCTTGCCCGCGGCATCTCTTGCTAATTAACAGATAAAAATCTGACGACAGTCTGACAGTATTGCTGTTAGACTTTAAAACAGTGGCTTTAACTGTCGCACTCAGAGACAATAATTCGAAACTAAAGGAGACCTTTACGATTTGTAACAAGAAAGTAAGTACTACATGTTTAGATTTCGCATAACTTAAAGGTAATAAGAGGATGTAACCATAGTTTTATATACAACTACGAGAGAGAACAAAGGTTTTACAAGGAATGCAGAAAAATCAGAGTTGGAATTTATTTTCATATAAAAATACTAAACGCTAAAGAAAGTGTAAATTTGCATATTGTTTTCGCATAACAGGAGTGATAAGATCCGCATTGCATTGTGATCGTTTGCAATTGTAAAGATTCTATTTAATAACATATTTCATTCTCACTATTTAATCCTTGAAGCGTTTTTATTCGACTGCTTAGAATATTCAAACGCTATTGACTGCTAATATAGTTTAAGGATGATGTAACATACATACCAAAGCTTACTATGGTTATTATAAATGCGTAAATTAAGATGGATTGATGTTTGTTGTAGTTTTTAGCCTAAACGGCAACTCTATAAAATTTGACACAGATGTAGAGGATAGTCTGAAAGAATACATAGGCTACTTACTTGTGATTTTTTTAATTCCACATGAACGGAATTGTCGGTGCAATATAGTCTATACTTATATTATAAAGAGAAAAGTTTGGTATTTTTGTCTATTTTTGTATGTATTTCAATAACTCAAAAACTATTGGGCCGATTTCAAAAATTGTTTGACCGTTAAAAAGCTACGTTATCAATAAGCAACATAGGCTATTTATTTATCATTTTTTAAATTACAAGCAGCGGACGCAAGAAACATCTAGTGACATATATAGTAATGCATTGTTAATCTGTGTCAGATTATGGAGCGTACGTCAACAAGGAATCGCGCGCGCGCCGGACGCTGTCGCGGCGGGACCAGCGGGCGCACACCACGCATCATCTGCCACTCCCTCACACGGTAACATATTCTTATACTTATAATTATAAGAAAGGATATTTATTCCTGCACTCTGAATCGGTATTTGATCATTAAGGGAGACCTTTAGTTCAGAATAAATATATAATACATACTATAAGAGCGCTGCATACTGTCAAAGGAGTCGGTATATCCAAATTTATATAAATAAACTATTGAAATATTTGTAAGATTTATTTAATCAATTAACAATTTAAATGCTTAATTATATAAATTACACAAAATGGTAAACATCATTGACCTTGAACGCGTTTATGTCTTATCCTTACCGTTTTATATTTACAGAACATACGGCGTGTGCTTTAATAAAGTTATAAACAGATCTGTGAAAATATGTAGGTCAGTGTCACGGGACAGTTGACAATGTGGTGTACAGGAAAATGTTAGTATTGCATTTATCAATCGTAAGCGGTTAGCATAGAGTCCAAATTCTCCCGAAGCTTCCGGTTTCCCCGCAACTTTACTGTTTAAATTGTTTTCCCACATTTTAAGTGGCGGGTCACGCATAGTCAAATTTGAATAAAACTTTTACGTGCGGATGCAGTACTAGTGTTGTGATTTATTTCTGTTATAAACGTTTCAAATACTTCTTCAAAAGTACTTTTGACTTGATTAAAGTTGCTTTTTGTATTAACGATAAGTATTTCTAGTTCTCTTTTATAAACCACGTCAGCATATTAGGTGCAGAAATTAAAAAAACAATCACTTTAAGAAAAAGTTTACAATTGAAGATAAACATAGATAGTACTCCGTCGCGTAGTTCTGTCGGCGTGTTTGATAGAATTGTAGATTATTACCAAAATTAGATAGTCAACTAGACGGAAGTGCGATACGGTTGCAAGTGGTATCATTACGGCGTCGTGTTACGAGACAAGTAAGCGGCACAAAGGCGCTAATGAGGGCGGCTTGGGCGGGCGGCGTCGGGCGCGGGGTGCGCGGGGGCGCTCGGGGCGAGCGGGGGGCGGCCTGAAGGCTGTCAGCGGTTGATTTTTCCGAGTGTCGTGGGCGCCGCGCTGATCGATAAGTCACGTGGCCCGCGCCGCGCTCAGCCCGCTCGATAGTTAGAGCCTCCGCAAATCTCCCGCCACTACTCTAATGTACACGTATGACTTCATTCCACACGCTTTACAACAACCCACTAATTATTACGCCTTGCTATTATAGTCCATGTAGCGCCTTTCTATAATGTCTGGGCTTTTAATATATTTTGTGAATTTAATTAATTAATTAACAATGAAATTATCAAATTAATAGTTTGATTACATATACACATTTCAAAGTGATTAATACAGTCCTTTAATTCGGGAAAAGTAATAATTAATAAAGTCTATATAGATAAAAAACAAGTATAGCAAAAATCCCTTAAATGCACTAGAAAATAGTTTTATTTCATTTTCGTAGATCCGTAGAAGATAGCGTAGCACGTCTACGAATTTGAATATATTAATTTAAAATTTCAAGTATTGTACAACTTTTACTAGTTTGTCTAACTTTTCCCAATGTTCGTATAAACAACTTTTGTACTCTACGTTTATAAGAATTGAATTTACTTTTATTTTAACATAGGTTTTATATTGATGAATATTGATTATTTTTTCTGCGAGTTAATTTAATTATGAAACATAAATTATCCTTACAAAACTTTAACACTAGTATGTCTACATTGTAGGGGGATTGTATATAAATGGTATATTAGTTTGCAAAGTTTATGACGTAGGTGTATTTTGGGTTAAGATGTGAGTGATGCAGTTGCAGCGTGGCAGTGCAGGCGGTGCAGGCGGTGACGGACATCGATCGGCGACGCGACCGAGCGCGCTGTCGTTTTGCCCCCGTCTCCCCCGTCCCGTACCGCGCAATCTCCTCCGCACCACCCCACCCGCATGACAACACTTAAGGTTATCTCACACACGGCGTACGCACATCGCGGTCTACCCAACTCCCAAAAAGTAGCAACTTATATATCAGACATTGGTCTGAATTTTTTAAAATCACGATTAGGTAAAATATTTGCCTTTTGTATATGTAATCTACTAGCAGGAAACCTTAAATAAAAGATATGGTTCTGCTGGCTGCATATATTATACGAAGTGCGACTTATCGATTCGAATTCGATGCTTTAAAATATTGTACCATATAGTACACAAGATATCGTTAACATTTTAGTGTCTGACGAAAATTTTTGTTTCGTATAACTAAGCTGTCCAAATAGGCTAATATTTTTTTTATCAATATGAGTTAATGCGGCGATATTATTCTTTTTCTTGTTTATAAAAGGCGAAGAACTAACAATGCATGCCACTTTGTTAATTACATTCCACTTCGCGCTTTTAATCGATATGCTAGTGAACGTAAGTTCACTGACGTTTCTCATTGGATAGTAATGTTTACGTAACTTTGAAATATAACGGTACGTGTACTCGTATATTATGTTTAAAACTTAATTTGTCTAAAAATATATTCCTTCGCCACAACGATCGTATTTCTTCTGGTTTCTCTTTCTATTCCGTCGTTCGTCTTTAGCGTAATGTTTAATCGCCTCATTATTTAGGTTCTAAATTTAAAATTACAGGTCCTTCCTGAGATAAGAACGTTTAATAATCTTCTTTTGTTTGATATTGACTCCAGTTTAAATCTGTCTTAAAATGTTATTGCTGTTTAACTGAATTGGACTTAACGTGATCGACTTATGTACACATATTTAGGTTTACTTTAGTCGAAATTGTTATATAAAAATTAGGATACTTTTGCATCTTATAACTAAAGACCTTATTTGAGTTTTCATATAAGTGTAAATCGTGTTTCAGCCGCCTTCGGAATGCGGGGGGCTCAACGGCCGCGGCGGCTACTGCGAGCCGCAGATGTGGCCGCACTACCAGGTAACAGAGATATTTTTTAATTTCTTGTTGTCTCGATCAAACATGAGAATCATAATTATTGTAATAATTGACAAATACAAAATTCAGGGTAAACTTCAATCAAAAACATATCTATAGTTATTAACAAAAGATTTATTTGACGTTTGCAGATGGGCATGATGGGCGGCGTAGGCGCTGGCGGGGGCGGGGGCGCAGTCTGGGGCGGCGCGCACGCGGGCGCGTGGGCCTCGCGCAGCATGTGCTCCAGGGAACAAATGCGCTACTTTCCCAACGACGCTCGCATGATAAAGGTCATTTTTAAATTTTTCTTCAAATAACCAAAAGGATTGTTAGCTTCTGTATTTGGCAGGTTACTAAGACAGTGATACAAAAAGATGATGTATTATTGCTTAAAAGTATCTCTAAAAAATAATGCCGGTAAATAGTTATATGTACTTCTTTTTCCTGATATAAGTATTGAGTTTTAGTTTATGTGTGATGCGAAATAATTTAAATTCTAGGGTCCGTATTTAAGTCATCCGAGTCAGTTGTGCCCTCCCGAAGGAAGATCTACGCCATACCCCATGTATGAAGATATGTCGTACGGGGGTGACAACGGGAAGCATAACGGCGTGATGGAGTACCCGGCGAGGAGCGCACCGCAGGCTGAGGCGCCGCGGACGGTGCGCGAGTGCGCCGCGGTCAGTTCGCCGCACCGCTCGCCGCCCGAGGAGAAGCGGCCGCCCGTGGTGCCGCTGCCCGCCTTCCAGCAAGCCTTCGGTTCCACCGAGATCGGCAAGTTCGCGGAGGCGTTCAGTCGCGCCGAAGCGGTACATGAGGCCGACGACATCTCCAGTGAGAACTTTGTGTACGACGCCTTCCAGGACTGGGACGGGCCGGCCGAGCCGCAGTGGGCCGCGCCGCCCGCGCGGGAAATAAAATGCGAGGACAACTATTGAGAAAGGTCGCGTCTCGCGACGCACCCGGCGATACGCCTCTTAGCTAAATTTAGACAAATTGTAGTTCCACCACCATGTTGCCAAAGAGTATGTAGCTCGACTTCGATCGTAATAATCGACGTCGTAGAACTAGGATGTGATAACAAATTTTTTAACATGTACGAGATTAGATCGACGGATAAATAGTGGTGTGACGTTGAATTCATATACATATTATATTATAATATTTAGTAGAATATTAATTAGTTATTCCTTTAACTAGTTTTAGTATTAATCTAAAGTGCGTGAACGCTGTTATGTGGGAGGTGGGAAATAGTAGGTAGGTACTGCAAAAAAAATCAAATGAATCATGATTCAATGTGCCTTTATTCGGAGAGGCCGGCGCCCCCCGTCGCCCCCGCGCCCCGCGCCCCGCGCCCCCGCCCGCCGCTGCGCGACGTCAAACGATCACAATAGCAATCATAGGGACCAACGTTTAGACAAATATACACCCGCCCGGTCGCGTGGACGTGCTATACCCAATAAGCTCAACGAAATGTACTGTCTTCAGGGAGTTAAACGAAATTTATTAAAACCTAGCTAAATTACGTTTAAATAGAGAATCTGAAACTTAAATGAGTAATAGAAGTAAACACATAGATTTAAACAAAGTCAAATGATACGACTATGAGGTCGAAGATTTAGATAGAAATATAGCGACAAGTTTTCTATATAGTCGTATACTTATGATCAATCCTCAATGAAATTCCTTGAAATTGAATCGCGTCTCGATCCGTCGGAGATCGGAATGCGCTGATATATGCATCGTCACATTCCTATTACTCAAATAACAATAAGATGTAAACAATATTGTTCCCACTTGCGGCATTTATTGATAATTAACAACTTATATTCTTTTTTCGTCAATATCTTCTATGATTATAATTAACAAGCGTAATTGTAATACAAAAATATTTTATTACCTTTATATATTCTGACGATCATTAATGGGGGGCTCCAAAAGACGTCGCGCCAAATGAAACTTTTGAAATTCATCAACTAAACGAAATCGCTCGTTCGTATTTAGATAGTCAAATTCCATACATTTTAAAACAGGTTACTTATGAGTGTAACGGCTTTTTAATTAAATAATTAGGGGCCAACAACGTCGATATAAAGTATCTGTTCATATTTAATTTCTGGATAAATCTCATATTTTAAAACGATTTATAGATGTTTTATCATTAGAATTTCTTGCACACATTTTTTCCTGTTACTATTTTCATAATTTAAAATTATTCAAGTATGTAAGTTTATGTATTTTAGTTCTGTGATAAATTTGTTGCATCTGTGTTTTCCGAACGACTAATCGGTTATTATTTTTGCTCTCGATTTTTCTTATAAAATTTTGTTCCAAGTTGTGTAAATTGTTACATTTGGATTATATTTTTTGAATTCACAGCGATTGTATGTTAATATTTTAGAGCTTTTAAAGTCCACTTTCTTAAACTTGCAACTTTCAAATAAACTTCCGATCGTCTTCATTTTCCTTAGTGAAAATCTGTAATTGTTAGAATGCAACCCCTTTGGACAAAACAGCAAAATTAATGGAGTGCCTTATGTAATTAATAATATGGAATTAGGAGAATGAATTTTATTCTAGCATAATTTGAAGAAACACCATATAGATAATAGCAAGGTTTAACTTCTTTTGAGCCGATTAATTCAATAATAAGTAGATAAGATATTATTCTTACCAATTAAATTATGATAAATATGTAATTCGAGAAATATATTATATTGAATGAGGTTAGCGAAGCACTAATATTTCATTCGTACATTAGGTATTTAATAGTTCTTTGTTATAATATTTAAAGTTTGATTTGAGTGAATATTTAGAGAGATTTATAAACTAAGAGGTGATGCTTCGATACATTTTTGAGTGGTTTAGTTGTTTCTATAGAATATAATATTTAATCTATTTGTTGCTGAATTTTACCAAATAGGCTTAGATTAGACAATTATTATAATTTTAGTACATTATGAAGTAATAATTTTTAAATGATTCTTTTATAATCACGTAGACATCTTCCAAAATAGTAAATGTGTGACGTTACATTTACTTATTCCATATTTTAAGGGAGATTGTTAACCAGCAGACTTCTTAATATTTTATTTAAATACTAATTTTAGATAAGACGTGTGATTGTTATATTTTGGTGTGTAACAGTTTAATGTGTTTAGATTTATGTCTGGATGTTGCGTATCTATTACATATATTTATTTCAATTGAGTGGTTAAACATTGTTAAGGTTTGTAAAAAAACGTTAATGGTATGAGAATGGACAATTTATTCCAATTCAAGACGTAAATTGTAAACAAACTACCACATGAGAGTTTTTATACTATGTATTTTATATTTTCGTTAATAATTTTTAATGTGATAATCGTATTAATCAAAAATATTGATTCGCTATACAAATCAGTTTCCTTATATGTTTTTAAATTTATTCAAGGCGACACATTGTTTCGTGTTTAGTTGTCTTGAAGTCCTTTTATAAAGAGATATTCTGACTTTTGGACATCATTGTAGTGTAAGAATGTTTCTTTAATTAAGATTTAATATCTAATTATGAGACATTAGTATAGGTCCATAACGATGTGGATGTTTATCGTTTCCTATTAACCGCACTTAGTCTATGGCTAGAGTAACAGCACTATTGGAGTCTGTTGGTTAACGAATATATCTGTATTATTTGACTTTGGTATTAAAAGTGTAGTCTGTGCCACATGTATATCTATATTTGATATTTCTCCATAGATAGATATATTGTTATTTGTTTTAGAATTAGGATTTATAATTTCCTTAATAGAGATATGTACAGAAAACCTAATTTATATTTATAAATTAAGTATTTCACATTATTATAGAGCTTCCCGTTTGACGACCCTTCTCTATCGTCTACCATTTATGAACCTTGTGTTCGTTACGGTGAATGTCGAATTTCGTTACACCTGTATATTGCCATTCTTTTGTTATCTCAAAAAAGAACAGAGACAGCAACAGTCTCCACAAGTGTAACGATATTTGACAATCACGTTTACTAATATTCCATTTTTTGTAGTGTTTCGACTTCAAGTATAAAATACTATAAAATACATTTGTCTTTCATCTTTTCTTGTCATTTTCTATGAATCACAGTACAAAGTGAAATCATATTGAAGTATTTTCATATTATAGAGAAAATATTAATGCTTATGGCATTGAAATATGAATTGGAATGACGTTATTTTTATTCGTACACAGGATCGTATTGATTTATCAGGTTTATAAAAAGAATGAAAAAAAAAACGAAATTACAACCAAAAATAACTAAGGTACCTAGTTATAATAACCAATGTAAATAGTTAATTATGTTTTGAAAGTTACACTCATATCAATCTAGAGAAAATTGATTTGATAGAAAAATTGTAAGATTTTTAAAAATCACAGAATTGTTTGATTTAAGAATCGATGTACGGATTAAAATAAACACCTTTTACTTACGACATTCAATTTGTTTTTTTTTTCTACCATTATCTACTTATTTCAAATGAACAACTCTTACATTTACGGAATAACAGACAAATATCCACCAAGTAACGCTACCAGTATTTACTGGTTTGAAAAGATTTTTTTTACTATTGTTGCAGTTTGAAGTCCTGTTAAGTAAGGTCCTCGTTTACCTTTAAATCTATACGTGCTTCGGTAGCTTTTTGTTAATACAACTTACTAAGGAAACATGTTTACTTGAATTAAAACATTAAGGTAATGTAAAAATTTCATAGATAGCGTTATGTGGCAGGGTGACTTTCTTGTAGACCAGATAAGTATTTACAGCCAATAAAAATAATAGTTATTTCAATCTAACATTGCCCCAGGATGTGTGTGTTAATATCTCCTGTAAGAATAATAAAATAATCACATTGTAATTTGATTACCCTAAGCTCAACAAGAAATTGATTACCTTTGGCCAGGTTTCTTAAATAACAAAAACTAAACAACAAAACTGAATATGAAGGATGTATAAAAATGTTAAAATAAAAAAAATAAACATAATTACACTGGGAATTAGTTTTTAATACACAAAAAGTCCACAGTTACATTTTATATTTATTCATAAGCAATAAAAATTATAATCCGTATGTGTCACAAAATTGAACCAATTTAACATTTAGGAAACCGATTGATATATTACATACATATATAAATACATACACATGTTATTTCATAAACAAAACAAGTATTGCTGGAAGCGACATAAAATTGCTACAAGAAATACTTTTAATGATATTTCATCGACCGAGATACTTTACTGAATATTGAAATCAACTGAAACATACGCGTTACTGTTTAAACACGTAAAGGCACTTTTAATATAGGCAATTACAAAAAGACTTAAAATATCGAGTATTGATCTGTTATAAAGTAACAAGTAAATACAACCAATACAAAAACATAAAGGGATAAGATATTTTATAGGTATATAGTACCCAGCATTTCTTTTGGCACGTTGGAAACAACAATAGCGCTCTACCCCACGTGCCAACTCAAGTGCGTACTCCGCATTTGCTTTGGCATATTGGAAAGCTGTACTTCAAGAATGCCGGATTATATTTGGATTAAATGATGCCAGTATTTCCTTCGTCAATTGTCAATGAAGTATTCGGTCAACTGGAGATCATTCATTCAATATTGAAGTGTTTTGTAGCTCAGAAAGATTGTCATTCAACACAACCGAATGGTTGGAAAACTCAAGGTAAAATAATAAAGTACAATAATTATTATAACATTAGTTACTTTCGTATTTTACTTCAATAAGTCTTTCTAAATATTCTTCCATTGTCCTACATTACATTCCAATTGTCATTGAAGTATGAAATACAATCGCAAATAATGAGCTTTATGTTCACTTCATTTTTCACTCATATTTGTTTATTTATTTTATTAATTATATTTTCTTAGTATAACAATATCTATAAATTGATTGTATAAGTTCGTAATTATTAAATTCGAATATTTTAACATATGTATATTAATAAACATGTATTATTTTAATAAATCACAAAAACAATTCTTTAAAACGATACATAATATTCGAAATGTAAATGCAATATTTGTGGCCTCAATAATAAATAATTACAATATCTAACTGTTAATATATACCTTCAATTATTTTAATTCACTGTAAATAATTAAAACTAACGGCGCAGTATTTGAAAACGTGAAACATCTGTGAAAATGATATTTTTCGTCAATGATATGTCATCTCACAATCATTTTTATTTATGTTTGAGTAACATCAGTTTATAGCAAACTTCTGATATTAAAATCACAATATTATAAACGTTTAGATCTTTGGAAGATGTATTAAAAAGTTCTAAATACTATCGTTATATCACGTATCAAAGTATTGTGGTTCTTTTTGGCACTTTAATTTTTCGATACTCTATTCGATTTATGTTAGTAATTTTTCTCTAATAAATATGTTATTTGAATTAAATATGGTTAGTAATTTTAATATAATATTAATAACGTTAATAACTAAGCACATTGTTATAAAATATCTTTATTAAATATTTAAATGTATATGCAACAAATATGTTAGTGATTTTTAAGAATAAATTAAGTAAGATGTTTTTTATAAATTGCAATTTGATTAATATACAAATAAAATTTAGTTATTTTATTTATTTCTTTGGTTAATATTTTTACATGGGTTAACTAATTAAATACTTGAAAACATTTAACACTGTATTAATTCTTCATTTAAATCTAATAAACCTTTGTAAGATACATTTGAGATTAAATTGAATTCTCCAAAAAAAAGTTAAAAAAATGATAACATCCATTTCACAGATAAGTTCACGTTTTCAAAAATCAGCATGAATTAATTACCTACAAAAAGTAAACATTAATTGTACATACAAATATTTTTCGGAGTCGCTTCAAACATAATCTAGGATATATGTTATACCATTCGCCTAACCTATGATAGAATTTCGAATTTGATCACGAAGAGAAATTATTATCAAAACTACCTAGTGTACTTCCATAGGGTAAGTGCATTTTGAACTATAGGGTAGTGTGTCGCGGCGACCGTGTCAAACGAAACGCACGTTGATTATAGCTAACTACATTGTCGATATATTTCTGTTTAATGTCAACAGTGAATATTAACAAGCATAGGTATAAAGGATACCTAATTTGGCACAGGATACCGTTCAGTACGAGTGAACTAATTCCATTGAGCTTTCACGAACATACAGACAAACTAAATATAGAGAATACTTACAGTGTCATCTAAGAACATAGATAAAGTCTATACATATTTTTAGTTAGAACAATGATAACTTTCTGCGATTTTTCTTCCATATAATATATATTTATATGATTTAAATTACGATATAAGAAGATATAACTTAAACACGTTGAAGGAATTATGGATAACCATTTGAAATAATAAACATAAAATTTAGGTTTTCGATTACGAACTACATCAGAAATAACTAATTTAATGCAACGATTGCAATTGGTTTTTCTATTGATATTGTCATTATTTGTAATTATAAGATCCAACTTACATAAGAAGATTGTAGATCTAATATAAATAAAACTTAGTGTCTATGAAAATTATTTTATTATGTGATTGATCACCTTAGAGCAGAGATAAAACTACGTCGTGTTATGCAATTTGTTGCTATTCGATTTATATCAATCAATTTATATAGCCTCCATTTATCTGTCAACATTCCCACTCCGATTGTCTTTAGCAAATACCGATCTTAAACTTGTTTCCTGTCCTTTTAATAATGTCTGTCAAATTATAGTTTCATGCAGTCTTTTAAATTTGGTTTAATGTATCAAAGTGGATATAAAAATAAACTTTGAGCTTCGTTTTATGGGATTGGAAATGTTTAATAAAGAGACATTCAAGGAAATTATTGTAAACGTTCAGGTTATTTCATTTTGTAACAATGAATGTTCATAACCTAGATCGTATCTATAAGTTTATAAACTATACTAAATAAACATTTGGAAGCGAGAAAGTAAATTAAATATTAAAGATCTATTCAAGACATATCCGGTTTCGATATAAAAAAAAACATTGTTATATTGATAAAGTTTGTCACAATAAAAACGCCTTCTTTGATACTACGAGCGTGTATAACAATTCCTAAAGACATGCAAAACCATCAGTCGATTTTCAAACAAAATGACGTCGCCCCACGTTTAAAAACTTTAATTAACAGTAATGTTTAAAGTCAACGATATTTACGTTAGGAATAGATACCGATTTATAGCCCAGACATTAGATTTATACTAAAAGGAGAAATCAATAAGTTTAATTAAGCAAACAAATTTGAAAGATCAACAATTTGTAATTTTGAAACTTACTTTACGATATCTAAAATTTAATTATGAAAATTTAGGACAGTGACTGTGGCTTTATATGGAGAGGAAAACGTCTGAAAACGTTGCATTTAGAGTTGCCACCTAGTTTTTTGCAAATAAATAAACTGGTGTTTATCCATCACTCTTAAGAACCTTTAATAACAATAATCTGTCACTTTTAAAAACTTGCATGAAACTTAATAACGTTAAATTATAGTAAATTCATAGAGTTCCAGTGTTTATTCGTTAACGTACTCAATAAATGTAATGCAAAATTATGCCTATCTTATTGTTTTCGAGCAGAATGATATGAAATGTCTGAATACTTTATAATGCAGTACCGGTGGCAACCCTGGGTGTTTGAGGACGAGGGTAGTGTTGGGTAGTGATGGGTAGTGGCGGGTAGTGGTGGGTAGTGGTGGGTAGTGGTGGGTAGTTGTGGCGGCTAGTGGCGGTGGTCGGGCGCGAGCGACTTGCGGCTGGCGGAGAGGTGGTGCGCGCGGGGCGCGGGGCGCTGCGAGCGCGGCAGGGTGGTGGGCGCGACGGCTGCCGGCGCAGGGCACGCCTCGCCCGCCACCTCGCGCGGTTTCCACACGGGCGACCCTACAACACACCAAACACCAAACTCTTTCACAAACAACTTTGACGTCAGCTCTAGTTCGGAATTTGAATTTTGCAAGTGATCGCACCGATCGCCAGGATAACGCGATAAGAGTTGAATGTTTGATGAATGTTGTCGTAGGTTCGGCGCCCCGTGCAAGCGTACGACCGATTAGGACTTCGACGCGCGGACACGAAGGATTACCGGGTAGCGGTGGCGTTGCTTAAAATTTGTTACCGGCGGTCAACATTGTCATCGAACATTCAAATGAAATTGTTAAGTAGTATCGACAGATCAGTTTGTGATGAATGTGGAGGATTTTTTTTATAAGTTTTTTCTTAAATATCAACTACTGTTACATAATAATTTTAAATCTACGGTGCACCGACGGTGTCGTCTTCATCCCGGTTCTCGTCCGGCCTAAGTGCAGTGTCTATGTATGTTTATGCTATATGTAGTATATTCGACAGAAACATTGTGCACAGCTAAGAAAGCACTATGTGTATAGAGATTATGTCTTTTTTCTACTTTTAATTTTATTAAGTAAGAAGAAAAGAGTATATATTGTGTATATTTAAGTGGACTAGTCTATTTTTATTAATTAATATTATATTTATGATTTGCTACAGTTGATTTAAGTAATACCTTCCTTTAAGCGGTTAGGCGCCTTTTTGGAAACTAGCTACATTTATAATTATGTATTTGATTATATCATGTATTTATAGACACAATAATATCCATTATTATAATTTTCGTAAGTTACATACGTGGTATAATAAATATTAAATAAAATGAATAAAATATGATCGAAATAAAAATACAATCTGTTTAAATATTAATTAAGAATAAAAAAATGTCGGTCTATTTTAGTATTTAAATGTAAACTTAGTCTTAGTTTAAGCAGGTACCGAAGAAAAGGGTAAAGTAAATAAAAAATATAGCTTTAATAAATATAGATATTTCGAAATGGAAGACTTAATTAATGGTACAAATCCATGGCGTCCTACGTAATAATGTTAAACCTAATATAATACATTAGTTGTTAAATAAATAATTTAATATTAACAAAAAAGAGAATTTAACAAAAATAATTAAGGATTAAGATCAGTACGATTCCACAGCCATTATAATATAACACTTAGCACTTGAGAGTTACTACAATAATTGCGATAAAATTTAATTATTACTATTTTTATTATTTTTATCTAACTACGATTTAGGACTCTAATCTACACATATAATGAAGATTTTTTGTTAAAGGTATTTCATTGTGTATCTTAGATTTCGTGTAAAACTATTGTTAGTAGTTTACGTATACGAGATTTGAACGTTCCGTTACTAGTCAAAAAGTTCGTTTTAATTTAGCCAACACAATCTGTGTTTGGTTTGAAGATCTCTGATTAGTTTTGGTTGTAATTTAGTTTCGTAATTGCCGTCATAGTTTGTCAGTCTCAGGAGATTATAACATTATTAAAATAGAAAATGAATATACAAAAAACTATAATTTGCGCACTGTAAATTGTAGGTCTGGCTGTTGCTTTGAGTCATATTGTAATCAAATTATCTAAAAAACAATTCGATATTACGTAACCAGCTAAAGTTAAAAAGTTAACTATCAATTCCATTTATTTGAAAAAGGATATAAAAATGAATAAACATCATTTTAGATCTTAATAAAATTAAGAATACAATAAATAACTGAATTAAGGGATTTTAATTAAACGTGTATTTGATTGAATTCGCTCCTGTCCGGTGTATGCTTGAAGGAAGGGCAAGTCCCGCGCTCGTGGCCCGTGCCGTCTAGAGTTTCGACGCTGCTGCGGTCGGATGTTACGAGAATCGATTGAGACGTCAGGGATTTTCTACGGGATTTTGGGACCTTGCCCTTCCCCTTATGCTAGGAACTTTTGCTCTGCCTTTTCCCAGAAAGGTAGCATTGCACGCAAGTGGGGTGTTCAATAGTTTTAGCGATCGATTCCGTCGATTTCGACACGACGATGCCCATTTTCATAGCTTTGTCTTCCGCTTTAGCCAACTGTGAGTAATGCGTTACTCTATCCAGTGAATTAGTACCGATTCTGGCTAGCTTATCACCGCTAGATCTGGAGGATCGCCGGCTGACGTTCGGCGACTTGCACGGAGATCTGTCAAAACTGGCCTGCGGAGTCCGCATTATGCCCTTCTTTGGGCCGGGTTTGGGTGATTTAGCTCTGTCTATACTGTTTTCGCGCGACTTCATGATGCTCCCGCGAGGCGAGCGCGAACCGTCGAAGCTCTGCTGCGGCGACCGCGACTTGTCCATCGAATCTCGCGGAGATTTGCTTTGATCGAAACTACCTCTTGGAGATTTTTGAAGAGATTTGGTCTGTTTGAGACTGGATTTGTTTGGAGATTTGCAAATAATAACTTTGGTGACGCGGTCTCTATCGGGGGACTGATCCATCGATCTGTTCGGAGATCTGTCTCTATTAATGCTGCTCCCGCTGCCCGAGCGGATCACTTTAATCTTTCTATCTGCCGAACACGTCGAACTCTTGCGCTCTGGGGACGATTTCAGAGAATGCGACTCCCGCTTACCTAGTTCTTTGACCATCGTTGGCTGGTACTGAGTGGGCTGGTGGGAAGACTGGATGAGGCGCGCCTGACTGCCGGTGCTGCCGGCGCTCAGGGTCGAAGTCGTGCTGTAAAGCAATTGTAAGAATACATTTTACATTAGGATAGCAGTATAAATAATAGTATCAAATTGAAAAGTAATGACATATGTATGAGTAGGAACAAGTAAACCTACATAAATTTAGAAAAGAGAATATTAAAATAAACGCATGAAGTGAAAGTGTGAAGAGTCGTCCCAATCGACATTGGTGTAGGTGCAGTGTGTCTGTCGTCCGTGATGCTAACCCATACATATGTTGATACCTTAGGGTGAGGTGGTTGGGAGTTCTGCCTAACCCTCGCTTGGCGGGCGGCGGCGGCGGCTCGTCCTCGCCCTCCGACTTAGAACCTGGCTCCGTGGAGCCCTGCTCCGTCGACCTGTCCGTGTCGGTCGTCGGCGGCGGCGGCAGCGGCGGCAAAGTCCGCTTGCTGCTGCTATCTGTTAACATGCAAATATCAACGACATTAAATTCTGGTTTGTTCACAAAATGATCAAAATAAAAAAGAAAATTTAAAATTATCTTACCAGAGGAATCATTAACAGTCTTGCTTCGAGTTCTGAACGTGGGTTCGTCTGAGGAAACATCTTGAGGGGGCTCATCGGCGTCTTGAGAGTTCTCCCGCGACAAGTCACCAACCTAGATAAATATGTAATTTGGTTTAATTAAAAGCAACTACAATTTATTCTTTAACAATACTAAAAGTATCTATGGCAGTTACATTTAAATAAGCGTTTGTTATTGATTCTGAACTTCGGTCTTACCTCAATATTGCCGGCTGATAAACGTTGTCCAGAAGTTTTAGGTTTCTTTGTTTTCCCAAGAGTCTGCGATCCCTGCATTACATGCACCTGAAAACAAGCGTTATTTAGAGTACGTTAGTTATTAATCTCATAATTTTAGCATAAAGTCCGATGATCAAGTAAAACCTGCTGTTTGTGGATAAATAAATAATCCTCTAAAATTATTGTGGTGGTTGTCACATGACACCACAAGAGTTGCAATAGTTAAAAATGATAATGCTTACTAACTTCAGGTGTAATCGTGGTCAAGTGGTAGTTTATACATCAAAAAATGTTTCAATATGTACCTGGTGCTTGGAGCGGTCGCGGTCGCGATCCAGGGTGTGCGGGGCGCGCGGTGGCGTGGGCGCGGGCCGCGAGCTCGGCAGCGACATGTTGCGCACTGACTCGCGGATTATCTGACGGATCGTCTTCAGGAACGCGTTGCGGAAGTCTGCCGTGCTGTTTGATACAATGAAAATTAAAAAAAATGCTTCGGAAACCGATGATTACAAGAGTTGAAGAAATCATCATCAACTTGCCCTTGTCCCTGCGAAGGGTCAGCACGGTGCTGACCTTTCATACATATCTATCAGCCGTATCTGAATTTACTCCCTTCTTAAGCATATCTTTTTTCACACAATTTATCTGTCCATACATTCTTTGGTCTTCGTCTTCCTCTATCTTTGTAGCCATAAGACTTAAAGAAATAAGATACTAATGTTATTTACCTATTAGAGAGTACGTAGACTTTCTCCGAGCGGCGCTGCAGCTGACTCCGCAGGTGTATGAGCTCCCAGAGGAAGTGGCTGTCCATGTCCTTTGCAGAGGAGGCGCGCACCTGCACCTCGGTCACAGGGATTAACACTTGGTACCTTATTATCTCCACCTCATTAGAGTTATTCTTGGACGACACGCCCTGCAATACACAAACATAAAATTGTAATCTTTTAATACATATTACCGATATCTATAACATTTTAAGTGAAAATTATACCATCAACTTCTTCTTCTGTCTCAGTCTTTCTTTGCAGAGGAAAACAACTGCGGATTTAAAGACGAAGCACATGGCGTGCAATTCCAAACCTTTCTTAATTTTCCCTAAGAAATCAGATATATTCAACCATTCTACACCGCCATAGTACAGCAAATCACCTGTAGAAGTAAGAAATAATAAATTAAATTATTCAATGGTGTATTTATAGTTTGTATGTAAAATTGTTTACTCACCAGGGCTGAGATCTATTGGTTGTTTGCAAGACTTCTGGTGTTGCCTAAACAAATGATCAAATATAGCACCATATTCTTCGTGAATTCGTTGCATTTCGTTTATATGTTCCGCGACTTTTTCCATCCCTTTTAATGCCTCTGTAACATTTAAATTGTAAGCACTACAAAAGTAACTTCTATAATTAGAACATTAGCACTAATTTATTACCGTACTGTAGCGCACGTATCTTAACAAAAGTAATTAATTACTAAGTAATTAGTAATAAATTTCATTATGTTTTATGTTCTTGATCTCACCTACTAAATGGAGATGTTCCTCAGAATTAACGTCAGTCAAGTTTCTGAGTTGTTGCAGTAATAATGGATACTTGAGTATCCGCTGAATCGGTTTAATTAAGTAAGACTCCAGAGTCGAGGAGTGTTGTTGCTTGGGGTTGCGCGCCGCTAAGAACTCTTGTAGAGCTTGATTACCCTCATCTGGATGAGAAAAGGTTAAATAAATAACACTCAAAAGGAAATACAATCTTAAAGATCTTGACAAAAACATTTTAGATTAATAAAGTAAATCCAATTTTTACATTTATTACTAAGTTGTAAATTTAGTTGAAGTTAATTAACTAATAAAGTAATAAACTTACTCGGATGCAAAACCTTCTGAGCCTTGCTGTGACTTGCGCAGAACGAGCTGTACAGTTTGAAATGATTGACGTAATATAGGAAAGCATTTCCCACGGCAAAGAGGACATTCTGCAAGACAAAATAAAATAGTTTTAATATGTTAAGTTTTTTGTGTAAGTACTGTCATATAAAGAGTGGTATAATTAATTTTAGTCGCTTTCCCGTTCCACCCTTTTCTTAAAAGGAAAGGATGGGAAGGAAATTTAATGGTGGAGAAGACGCATAGGAAGGGGAAAGTCCTCTTTATGTGCGTCTCCTCTTCCGTCAATGAAGGCAACGCTGCAATTGCGGATGTTTATAGGCATCTGTCGCTTTCCATTTCGGTGGATTCAGGCCGCTTGCTTGTTTGCCACCTTATGTTATAAAAAAAAAATATCTTACCTTGAATTGATTCGAGAATTCGAAGTGATGGAAGTTAGGTTCAGCCTCGAGGGCTTCTTCGAGATTTTGCAAGAATTGTCTTTGGAAAGTCACAATCTCTTGAATATTGCCGAACAGAGCGTTGATTTCGGCGTTCGATAAAAAAGTTTCCTTCTTCAATGGCTCCAAGTAATTTTCCAATAAATTGTTTAGGTGCTGCAAGCGACGGTAAACAAAGTCCCAATTACAATAGAGTATTAATATCCCGGATCGAGTTTAGTTTGAAGTAAACATTTCAGTGAGTGTCAGTTGTCGGGGCGCAGGTGCTGCCGTTTGTGCGGATCCAGAATCCGTTTAAACTTTTCGGCTTTATTTAATTTATACGGTTTGAACGAATTATCAAATTACTTACCTTTCAGATTGTTTTTTAAGCAATTAACAATAAGGAAGTAAACAATAAAAATTGGATTCCATTAATTTTCATAACATGTTTTGAAATTAAGGTATTGTTATTTTAGATGTTTCTTTTGATTTTTTTTTAAATTACGTCGTCGTACAAAGAAGTTATTTTATTTGTTAACTAGATTGGTGACGTCTAATGAAATCGGTTTTATTATAACAAATGAGAACAGTGTATAGCTAGTAAATATAACTCAAAAGTAGATATTCTCGTATAAAGGTTACATTTAACTATATTACATTGTTACTTTGTACCTTGACATAAGCACGCTCGGTGTCGACCAGCTCGAGCAGCACTTTGCGCAGCTTGTCGGCATCAGAGAGGTGACGCGAGGGCGTGGCGGCGGCGCTGGCGAGGCTGCCGGTGGGGCTGCCGCGCCGCGTGTCCGCCGGCGACCGGCACCAACCAGTCACTTGCTCCGCACTCTGATAGTTACACCACACTTCGCTTCTTAGCAAATATTTTCCAAACACTGATACCCCCTTCAATATTATTACATTATGACCAAGCTGTTGCTCGCAACTTCGTCAATGTGAAATTAATAAATAGTAAAAAACATAGCCTATGTTACTTACTGATAACGTAGCTTTTTAATGGTGAAAGAATCTTTGCAAATGGACCAGAAGTTTTCGAGTTATTTGAATACATACAAAAATACAATACATTCCTCTTTATAATATTAGTGTAAGTATTCTTTAGTTAAGGCTTATTGAAAATAATTAAGATAAGTTAGTAAATAAATTTAATCTTCTTAATGTAATGAATATTAACAAGATAAATATAATTCTGTTAATCTAATGATATTTAACTTTAATTAAATAATATTTGACTCTTTGAAATAACTCGTAGGAACTTCAATGGAGATTAGTTGTGAAATTCGAAATCTCAGCTATTGTTTAGTTACCGAAGTAAAGTTCTGCTGGATCAAACTATTGAGATTGTGGTCGCTTCAGCGTTTAGACTCGAGCGACTTAAACACTTGCATGAGAATACGCCGGCTCTACATCGAATTAGTAATTGATAACTAATTTATTTGTTTCTAACCAAAACTACTAATTTTACGTATATATTTAACAAAGTTTTCTATTATTGAACAAGTTATTAGAACAGAGATTGAAAAATATTTATTTAAAAGTTCATTACGTCGATTGCTTAAATTTATAAATTCTTCAAAACAAAAAAAAATATTATCAAAATTGGTTCACTAGTGGCGGAGTTATGCCGTAACACACATAAAAAACATACAGACGAATTGAGTACCTCCTTATTTTGGGAATTCGCTAAATGATAATGGAAACATATAAATCAGTTATTGTGCTAAAATAAAAATGAACTACCTTAAGAAGATTCTCGATTTCGAATGAATTAGTTCTAGAGCTGACTTTGGGAGGTCCGGATGTTGTAGAATCACCGCCATGTGCATCTGTTTCGGGGCTGTATAGTTCTTTACCTGTATACAAATAAAAATAATTGTATTGCGTTTAAAAAAGGAACAAACAGTCTCCTCACTTTGATTAACCATTACAAAAATAACTTCTTACCGTTATACTATGATAATAATTGAATGCTGTAACCATATCTTTGTAACATGTTTGCTTGTCTGTTTTATTTAATATTTTTATAGAATTAAGTTTAAAATTGTATTTTAATATGTGAAGGTTTAAAACGATTCTCAAATACAAAGAATCTGGTCTGAATGTTTATTAAAAGCACAAAGTGGGGGCGCGGAAAATTACATGTTTGATGTGGAGCAAGCTTTATGACACGGAGTGACACAATGTGCTTTTTTGGTCGAGGTGAGTCAACAGCAGCGGCAAATAGCCTACGGAAAGGGTCACGGCCTTCATTTGACGCCGCGTCGAGAGTATACTTGTTTCTAACTTAGTATGAATTTCTACTTGCCTACACGAGTGTTTTTCATTTATTTTTGTTCAGTTTAGGGACAAAAGCTCGAGCATTTTCTTTCATTTTAACGTTTTGTTTAAGTACTTTGATTTTTTTTTATTTCTGCATTAATTAGAATTGTTTAAGTTGAAGAGAATGAACCTTATTTCAAATTGAAATTGATACTTCTTGTAACGAAATAATTGGTTCTACGATTAATTATTGAATTCTCGGCTCAGCGGTACTTCCTAGAAATGAGAAACAACATTAACGTGTCGGCAGATTATTCGGAGTGTTAAGCTTAAATAAACCCACGTTCGACCTACATGATAAATATGCGGCCAATCGTGAAGTTACGAAAACTTAGCTGTACATATGTACTCAATTTTACATGTATCGAACGAACTTCATTTTAAGAAAACAATTAAAAATGTTATAAGACTTTTTTGTATACCATTTTCAGGGATGTACACTATATAACAGATTACACGGTTGACGTTGTTTAATAAATTTTCATATTTCTGTGTACAGTGTGTAAGTCAATATCGCAAAAACGTTATGAAAGAAATGATAAATGACGCGTTCATAATCGAACAGGCTATCGGAGAGAGCTTTTCAATTTAAATAACGAACATCCTGTGAATAAAGGTCCGTGTAACGATATGCTTTACACGGTACGTGCCATAACTCATTCCGTAGCAAATATACCAGACATGTCCGATATAGGTATTGTTTGGAGCGGTGTCGTGTGGCCGCATCAAATTGTGTTATTGTGGACAATGTTAAGCAAACGAGTATGCAGCTCGTGTATACATAATAATTAGCTCTTGTTACACAACAGAACGCAGTCGTTGTGAATTCAACAGCGCAGCAAAATTCGCCTGGACGAGTTTAAATAATGACCACCGAGAAAATAATTCGAAAAAAGGAATACGACGAAAAGGATGAAGAGGTTAAATTAAATTAATTTATGTTTACAGGTTAAATCCCCTCGTCGCTTTTAACCAAAATTTATTGCTCGGTAATTCTTTACTGTGCCGTTATTCATAAGAAAGTACTTAAACATCGTCTTATGTAGTAATATTTTAAGATTAAATGTGAGTCATTTTATATTTCGTAGCGAACCGTATATTATGTAGAGATTTTGCTTCTTGTTTTAAAAGCAATTCCAGTTTCTATGATATTCTTTAGCAATCTACAAATACCTATAAAATATAAAAGTATACTTTACTAGCAGTATCAGCATGTTATTTTCTCTATTTCATATTACATTATTGGATAAAAGCCACAATATTGTAAATCTGTATTGGAAACGATGCCAAGTAATACATAGAAAATGATTGAAGAGTTGCTTGTTAGCGTCGGGGGCGAAATGGAAATGTTAATTCAATCTATATTGCTCGCTAAAGCAGAATAACTATGCAAAACAATACGATTCCATTTGCTGATACCGATTAAAATTTAATTGGATAGTGCTGTGGTATGTATCGACATATTGGATGGTCTATATACTAATGATCGATATTAATTGTTTGCCAATAATTGTGTCAATCGATGTCACCGCACATACTCGCTTAAATTGCACAAGCATATATAGAGTGATGTATCTAGCAGCTCATAAATATTGCCGTGTATATACAGAGAACATAATGTTGCGACGCGTACGATTTGCATGCACGTGAGTGTACTGAGATTTGTGTCTTTTATTTCTACTGTACTTAGATATAGTCCATGTGACTGGCCATGTCTTTATAACTGTACTCTTACATCTTGTAAATCTCTGTATTAAACTTAGACGAAGTAATATATGTTACTCATTCATTGCCACAGAATTACTTATTGAAGTATTGTGCAATAGCATTGTAAGTGTGTAAGGGTACTCACTCCAAGCAGGCGCGGGCACGATGAGGCCGGATATCATGTCGTCGGAGATGACGGGCGGCTCGCTGGGCGGCGGCGGGCACACCAGCGAGTCTATTATGTCGTCGGTCGCGGCGCGCATCACACCGCTCAGTTCCGGCGGCTCGGTACGTGACGACCTGGTTGAAATTTACATTCAATTTATGTAACCGTAGAATTCTACTCCACACATATATTAATATCTACATATTGCAATTCTTTTCTCAGTACAAGACAATACAGATATTCTTAAAGTTGCCCGACTTTGTTCTGATAGATGGATAAACAAATAAAAAATGTATATTCTAGGTTCTTTGTTGATAGAAAAGCTTTTATCGGTGACAAAACAATTGAAATTGAACAAGTTTATAATTTACGTACCAACAAATAATTCTTTTCTTTGAAAGTTATCTATAAAATATTATTTAAGTGGTGTATAAATAAAGTTAGCGAGCGACCACATATAAGCTCAATAATCTCAAGTAATTGCGTTCGCCTAGAAAGCGATAAGTCCTTCACAGTTAGCCTTGTGAAAATATAAATGTATGATTACTGAAGGCTATCCTTGTGCCATTTTTATAGATAACAACTGACAACGAAGATTAAGTCCTGGTACGACGGAATACAAATGAAAATGGCTTGTTTTTTACAAAGGAGGGATGTTCTTTTACTGACAGTTTATACTCGAGGTTAAGTGCGGTTACATGATTGTTTGTTTGTGCTAATTTAATGAACCATCTTGTGAGATTCTTAGGAAAATGTTTTATGAAATACAAGTAATGAGGTAAAGGTAATAAGGTAAATTGCTTTATGGAATTGGTTTCTAAAGGATAAAATGTTATTTGGGAGAGGATAATGTGTTTATAGTTAAATTTATCGTTCAGTTAATATTGATTTTTATTAGTATTCTCTTCATATTACCGACCCTTTTCGATTCATAGTTCATAGTAGGTTATCTTTATAGAATTTATGGATATTGTGCTGTGGTTCGGATATTTTTAGTACAATTTTTAATTAAGATCTTGCAGGGTCAGGAGCCTTTAAAAAGTATTGACTTTCGTTTAATTACGTTTACGTAAAATGATATTTCAGTTAACGGGACGTACATCAAAGGGATAAGTAATAAAAGGTTAGGACGTAATTTTTATTTTATGAAACATTATAAGGGGCACAGGCATAAAACCTGTGAACTTTTACCACTAACTTACCACATGGGAAACAAAGTTATCGTGTCGCCGGCGGCTTTAGCGGGCTTGTTTTGTTGTGAAAGTAGACAAAACGGTTCAGAACAATGGCATGGTGTCGAGAGTGAATATATCGAGGTGTGTATTTTGTCGGGGAACATTAATTGTCGCGGCGCGTAGACGTCAGGAGGCTCCGTGGCGGCTCCCACAATGTGCGGTGCGGTGCGACGCGGCGCGGTGCGGTGCGGTGCGGTGCGGTGCGGCGCGAGGCCGCAGGGCGAGGGTGTATGTAGGTCGCACCGAGCGCTTCAGTAAACTTGTCGCGGTCGCAAAAGGTCAGGTGTATGAGGGCGGGAAATGCCTATGAAGGCCTCCTCGCCGCTGCCGTGCGCCGAGCGCCGCGTTCGACTTCCGTTCTATTAGGCCCCAGCCGCTCGGTTTCCTGTTCCACCACCACTTTAGCGAAGCGAAAGTTAAGTTGTTTTTTCCTCTATCCATATTCCCATCTGCCCTGAATTATTTATTTCTAAACGACACTTCCGAACTCGGCTACCGTAAGTGATTAATGATAAATGATAAACTAAGATGACGGTGTAAGATTCGGAAGGTAATAATGCGGAAAGTTGGCGGGAAGTTGCGCGAACTTACCTCATCATCATGACGAGCGAGAGTTCCTCTTGCAGGACGCTCTCCAAATACATCATATCGAGGTCGGACACGATTGCTCCGTTGATCACCATTATCTCGTCGCCTTTGATTATCCCTGACAAAGGAGACAATTATTGCAACTCGAACGTCGAATAGATTTTTTTTGTTTGGAAAAACACAGAGAAGTAGCGCAATTAGTTTGTAAATTGTATATTCAAAGAAAATGTTAATCTACATCGAGATTCTACGAATGATAAAGGCGATTCGAAAGAATTAATTCCAATCGACATTGCTGTTACATTCGAATTTAAAAAATTGTGTATTGTTATTGCATCATCTCGGAATAGTAACAGAAAGCTCTAATGATTCCGTTATTGTAATTATGGTTAATTTAAGGATAGATTTATAATTCATGTGTTATAGTAAGTATTAACCGTTCTGCATGGCAACGCTCTTGTCTTCGACGCGGCTGACGTAGCAACAGAGTTCGTCCTGTCTCTCCGCGTTCTCTATCAACTCCGCTTCCACGCTGAAGCCCCACATCTGCTCCAGAGTGTTGCGCTGCAGTTCCACTTGGTACAAGATCTTCGCACACACTTCGACGACTTCGTGAGTATGCAACTGTATGAAAAGAATTAAGTATTAAAAAAACAAGAAGACCTTTTATCCTGCTTATATTTTAAATATAATACAAGTCTTAGTAAAATCTTCAATTAGAAAATTCTATAGCATTAGATTTATTATGCTCTTAATAACTGTACGGTTACCTTGTATCTATGATATAAATGTGTATTTAATATTTTAGCATTTTATATGTAAACATAAGGTAAGTAGATCAGGTAGCTATCGTCATAGTGTAATTAAATTCATTTGGGTTCGCGTAATTGGTCCCCGGGGTCCGCAATGATTACAAGCGGGTATCATTAAGTGAATTGCCTGCCTGTTGCGGCCTCAAACAACTGTTTAAATTACCAATTTAAATCATTACTTTCAAATTTAAATTTATTGTTGTTTCTGACGCTATTAATATTATTGCAGTATTCATCTGTTTATTGCTAAAACCGTAAACAAACTAAAAACTATAACGATTTTAATTATACAAAGTGAATAACAGATCGGAGTCCACTAACACAGGTATTATTTTTATTGATTATGCATTTATGAAATAGATAAAAATACTTTAAATAGACTTTGTGACAAGAATTGCAAATACGTATCTAGACAAATGCAATATCCGATATGTATAAAATTCTGTTGAAATATTTCAAATTAAAAAAAAGCATTCAAAATATATTGGAAAGGTGTTTTCTGTGAATTCTATGATTACTTCGTTACATTTCTCTATCGGATGCGATATAAAATTCTTGTTTCCGTTTTCCACAGAGTTTACAGTTTTTCCTAGAAAACCACGATAGAGTACTATGTTAAAATAAATTTATTTTAAAATTTCCGCTTTTTTAAACGTCGAAAACATTTAAACTCCTTAACATTTCGATCAAAGTTTAAAATGTGTATAATGTAAAATGTGTACACTTCAGATACTATTAAAACTTTATCTTTTTCTATTTTAAAAGACAATTTATATTAATGATTTCCATCACTATAATATGTAAGAAGTGCGAAGATTACATTCAATTAACTTTTACGATCAACAACATAAGTAAATTTATTATCACTTTAATTAAAAATAAACGAGAGGTAGTAATTTTAACCTCTTAAGACTAGAACGTACCACAAAAGAGCCTTTATAAACTATATCAGAATTCAAGCAAAGGAACGTTTATTTTTCAAGATCATATGACTCTATGAAGTATGGTGTTAGATTTATCATCTATCATGTCGGTAATCGTGAGCCTTTATTTAAACCTTATCTAAATGTTGGGAATTAATTAACAAAATACTAACGTATGTTTCAATAAGATCACTGCGGTGAGGCACGAAGTAGTTGTGGTCCTCCATATCACGTCGCTTTTTGACGCGCACGAAGTGTTCCAGCGCGTTGAGAGAGCGTCGAGCGCAGGCGGCTACCAGGAACTCCTCCACCGACATCCCTTCCCTCACCCCCACTGTGGCTGTGGTACCCTCAGGGAGGGACACCCGGACAGCCGCCTCGCTCTCCTCACGTGACATCTGGGTAAACCACAAGACGGTGAATACTTGACAAAGGATATTCCTGTTTAAACTTTTTTTTTGTCGTTTTAAAGTCGTTGATCGTATAACATTAAAATCTTTATCAAGAGGCATACTTTTTATGGTTAGTGATTTTATATAGTATTTCGGAGGAAATGTACTAAATAGTATACAACATTTCTTCGTTATTCTGATTTGTTCTCTTAAAAGATAAGTTACATATAAAGTTTAAAGAAAGTTGTTAGCTTAACTCACTGTCTAGTAAACGATGCGTATATTTTCTTTAATAATATAAGATATTAAATTTCCTAGCGAACTTGTTATGTTTATGCACAGCATTTGTCGGTACTGTTATTGCTACCTTCTGTGTAATTTGTTGCGAAAACGGCAGCGTTCAGGCAAGGAGGCGTTTAATGAAAGGTAGTCCAAGAAAATGGGCGACGTAGAAGTATACTAATAGGCTCCTTTTCTACTTGCATTACGGGCAGGGTACTAATACAAGAATATTGCAGAGTATATCCGTATTTCTTAAGCCTCGGCACTATTTTTAAGATTTAATTTTCTCGTAACATACGATGCACGATTTAGGTTAGTACAAGAAAAATACATTTGAAAGTTTTATGGCGTCTGTCCAGTCTAAGCGACGATATATTGCTTCTTTAAAAGCATAGTACGGAAGGAAAAAAATGTTGCTTTGTTTTTCTAGTATTATCCTTAGATAGAAAGAGCTTTTAGAAAGAAACGTTGGCTTTTAAGTAATGAAACTGTTATTGGTTTTGCTTTATTGGTTGTGTTATGTGATGTCGTTCTTACAGTTTTGATAGGATCTACGTAACACAAAATTTGTAAAAATAATATAACATAGTTGTACTACGTAGAAGTAAATTGTAAACTGTCCAATTTATTGGAAAGACAAAAAATCATAAAACCACATTTGCAGGTTTTATTAATTACATTCCTTAGTGTAGAAAATTCAAATGATAACACTTCATCTCGTCGTATGTTACATTAAAAAACGAGCGAGAAATGAGTCGTGCTGAAAGCGAAAAACAATTTTTACCCTCTTTTCATACTGGACATTAAGTTCGTATCATTTTCGCAAACAACAGAGTACAGCGTGTAAAAAGATAAAATATATTTTATAATGCATTTTTCGCAGAAGTGTACAAAAGAGCGTGTGCGTTTTAATTAAAATGAGTGTAATCGAGTGTACCTGCATGGAGCGTCGACTGGAGCCGGAGTTGGAGCGGGAGAGGTTGGGGGCCCGCCGCTTGGTGGCTCCGCGGCCAGCCAGCAGGTTGTTGAGTAGCGAGGGCGAGCGAGCGCATATGAACGCGTGGAACGACGACACCGTGAACACGCCCAGCTTGTTCAGCGTGCTCTTTGTGCCGCGAGACACGTGTGTAAGCAGCGACTGCAACAAGCGACCCTTACATCCCTGTTATCTTTTAATCCTTTTAATTCTATTAAAAAATGTTATGATAGTTGTACAGTGAAATACAGGTGTATTCTTCAAACTTATTTAAAGATTGCAAATGATTGATTTTAACAAATGTCACATAACTTTTAATTCTAACATTGACAATAAACACAAAGTATTCTTTATACTAGTATATAAAAAGATTAGCGTTGAACAACGGTACCGTCTGTACATTTATAAAAGTTAGTTTGAGTTTAATTTTCAAAGTTCGACTTAAAGTCAGCTTTAAACATAACGAGTGTCTGCTATTACAATAGAGATAGTAGCGCTCGGGAAATTTTATAACTTATGCAATATATTCCTTACGAGAAACATGTTTCTCTGAATTCAATATGAAAACAAAATGTGAAATTCACTCATATCGTTATCTAAAAACTCAAGAATAAACTGATGAAATAAATCCTTAGAATTTACGTAATGTGAAATTATGTTTCATGATGCGCGAAACGGTCTGAATAATGATACCATTCAGACTTTTTCAGGCCTCCTCAACCCTTAAATATGCATAAAACCAAGTGTGTATTTATAATAAAGGGTTATAATAATGTTGCTGCTTCGCTGGTTTCCTTATGGTTTACTTTTATTCATGATTAAGATCCGTCTGACGTACGAAGCTGGTGAATTGTGGCGCCGTCTATTGTAATTCTAGTTAACTATTTATATTGCATGACATGGGTCTGGTATAATAGATATTCGTGGACCCTGTACGGTCTCACGTCGACTGCGAGCTGTCAATTTGGCAATGTAGCCAACAAAAATCCCTTTTCTGTCACTACGATGAAATCATTTGGCTGACCATGTTCGCGGTCATTTTCCTCGTGGTATTGTTTCACAATTCATTATTATTATACATTATTCTTTCTGCCATTAAGATCGGTAGCTAAAATGCTTTGCTTGTATTTCCTTTGATGATGTTTATTCGTCGACGTCTTTGTTTTTTGCCTTTGGTTTGGCAAACTGTAGTACGGCATTAGACGTCATTTGGCTCGGTATTTATTTTTGTTCAGACCTCGATAATGGCTTTAAGTCTATTTTTTCCTTAAGTATAAAAAGGCAATTCACGATTTTCGTTCATTTATTTATTCTTTAGGATATGATGAAATGGTAATTTTATTTGAATATATGTCTTGGCGAATATAGATTTAAAGAATATTAATAAACTGCAAGGAATTATTGACTTCACAGAAAAACGACCAGTTAGTTAATAAATTATACTAAGTTGTAACATTTTCTAATGTTTGATTTTTATTTTAGCAGTTTATGTGATATTTTTGATTGATTAAATTACTAGTTACAACTTTTTAGGTTTACCTTAGGGTTAGGCAGCTCGCCACTCTGTAGGCTGGCCATGTAGCAGCGCAGACGGAACTGCTCGCAGTGAAGTCTTTCCAGGTTCTCCTCCCACTGCAGCATCTGCACCACCAGCTGTGCTCGCGTCTCCGGATCCGATACCACCGACTGCTGCAGGTCCGCCATCTGCTTCAGCTTGTGATCCTACCATACATAACACTTTTAATATCAAGCTACAACTAGAATTCCTGTTTCAAAACGGTATTTTTACTTCGAATTAAGCATATTAGCAGAAGTATTTTCAGAGTGTAATATAAATTTCCCAGATATATATGTTATGTAGAAAATTGAAACATAGTATATTGTATTCCGTACGTATAAAACATTTGTTAAAAATCTGTGTCCCCATTCCAACTTTTCCGAAAAAAAAAATAAAACAACCAATTCAGGTGAAATTTCGTACATTCTACTGGACATATCTACCGTTTGATTGTCACAAAAACGATCCTCTAGTACTTTTAAAACTAGTACGAACTACAGAAATAAAATGTATACATTTTTGTTTTAAACCTTTTGTGTTCATTGTTCCGAAATGAATTAAATTTGTCAAGGTAAAGCAACAAAGGCTTAAAAATTCGATTATGTATTACATTTTGCACGGCAGGCGGAGATCCCGAACTCGGCACAGAGCAAGCTGCGTTATGAATATTAATGAACTGACACCGCCTGCCCCTGATCACAACACCAGATACACCTTACAGTATCTTTATTAAAACCATGAATTTAAAGCTGGTGGCTTTAAACCTAAAATGTTCTTACAGGGAAGAAATAAACTTAATGTTTATTGCTATTCTCTAACGATGCATTAATCTATGCAACAAACAAAACATTAACGGACGCTTTAGAACTACTATTCTATGATATAATACAAAAAGTAATAAGGCCTTTAAAAGCGTAACATCAACATCCGACTTAATAAATACCTAAAGTATGCAAGTTCGAAACAACTTTGCTCTATATTTGGAGTGCTAACAGCTATACGTGGAGTAGATAACAAAAGAGATTGCGATGGAAACGCCGACGTATTCAGCTGGCTGCATTGTGCTCCCGGTATTTGATTTAGATGGCCAGGCCGCACAGAGGGTTCATAGTGCCGTTGGAAATTAAAGCTATATTCGCATGTTATGTTCGTGCATTGATCAGAGTCGGCCGCAAAGGCTTTGATGCGTGTTGCGGTCGCCCCGTGCGGGTCAGAAATTGGCACCATTTCCACTTGCAGCGTTACAGACCGCATGTAAACCGCCCACGGCCACGCCCTCTATAATGTATAAATGATTACGTTCTACTGAGATTTCTTTAACTTTTCGTACGAAATATTTTTTTGTTCTCAAATCAATAAGAGTCCGAAAAAGTATGTTTAATCGCTAAATTGTTGTAATGAAATTTGTAGACTGATAATATGTTTTAGGGATTGAATTTAAGCTAAAGTGAAATTTATGTATACCTACCGCAATTTAACTTAGTAGAAGAAAACATTCCTGAGAAATACGGTAAAAGCAATAAATTTATCTGCATAAATGATGAATGCTTTTTGCTTCGCTACATTGTACACACTTGAAAGCTTTACCCGACTCGGAGAGTTGCGGCGAGATTGTAAATTGACTCTTATTGTGGTGCATTTTAAAGCTGAATTCGGACCGTTCACATTTTAGTTTACGAAGGTAGTTAGTGATTCGTGTCAGTCAAACAATACTTCTGTTGGTTCAGGCCGACACGGTTTACACCGTTGAGCTGTGCATAATATCGAAGCGAAACTGTATTGTGTTCCTTCACCTTTTCAATACGCTGCAGATTTTTCAGAGATTATTTTTATTCAAAAACATTTGTATTACTAAAATGTGTTACTCTTCTTGGCTTTTCAATCTATATCTTTAAACATGGCCGTCCCCTATCTTGTGATTAAACTGCGCTCTGTGTATACTTACGGATTCTATAGCTTTCTCAAGACGATATATTTCCTCCTGCAGCAAATGGAGCGTTCCGGTTTTGCCGCGGTGGCGGGCGAACGCCGCAGCGCATGCACTGTGTATGCTATTCACCCAGTTCTCGAGCTCGACCTGGACGGTTACATAATATGTGTATAGATGAAGTGTTACAAGTGCTTTATACGGTATTTTTAGAATTTCTAAACAACTCACTTGGCACGGAGCTTGGAATAGGTAAGCGTCGCCAAACGCTGTGCTCAGGCAAAATATGTAATCGCGCTTCGGATGCTCGGGAATGGGCTGCATTATGGCGCCGTCGACTATAATAAGGTGCTTCGGAGCGGCCTCTACGGACCGACCCTCTCGGGAATCGCACGGATAAAATAGAAGAGTGGTGCCTTTCAGACAAACCCAATATCCCTTCCAGCCTCGTTTGCGTGCCAATTCGATCTGATGTTTTTTACGAAGCAGCCACTTCTTCACGCTCAAGAATCTGTACAAATAAATGAAATGAAATGTATTCATGAAATACAATGTAGTCATTCATTATTTTTGTTTTATGTTGTGTTCAGTTTTTTAAAACTACTGCCCAATTGTTCTTAAATTGTAAACTTCTATTCTCAAATTAACGAAATAAAAACGATGGTTTGAAAAGTTTTTAACAGTATTCCAGGTATTTCACGATGTTAAGCGTTTTGACCCAATTAAACACGGCCGCTTGGTCTCGGATGGGACCGTGGCCGTGTTATGATTTCAATTGCTCATTTAACTTGAAGAACTTTTTGAACGACTTCGAGTGACGTTAGCGAACGAGAGTCTCTTCAGAGCATGCCGGTCGTATAACGACATTGTCGCCATTGTCGGGGACAAGGAGAACAGATTGTAATCGTGTTTGCAACACATTCACTTAAACTGCAATTACTTTTAGAATTGTAACTTTGTATTTCATAAGTTGTTAGAGCTTTGCATTCACCGCATTTCTACTGTTAACTCGAGGCTTAAACATTCCGAGCGGAAATCAGTTTTCATCGCGGGATTTAATTTGAGTTAAACTATGTGTAAATTGCGAACATAAATTGAAACGATATACCTAACAATTTCTGTGAATTAATTTTAAAGTCTTAACTTGCAGGTTTACTTGTTTTAAATGTTTCTTTTAATGATTTTCTTCAGTTATTGGAGAGAGAGTTCAGAGAAGTACCTATTAAGGATAAATTGTAAATTAAATGCTATGTTTTTTTTTAAATTACACTTGTGTTGCATATTGATTAAAAGTTATTATGTTTATTTTCAATTTTCTGTAACGTAACGTTTCTGTCATATGTCGTTCGTATTTTAACATGTTCTGTTCTACTGAAGACAAAAAATGTAATAAAAACATTAATACTTTTTTCTGCAATCTCAACGATATTACAAAATAAATGTTTCTGTGTTTTAAATCAGTTATTGTTCAAAGTTTCAAGTTCTTCTCAAGAAGCAGTCGCGTAAACAAACTTGATTTTAAGTTTTATATAAGCGCAACCTCGGTGTATTGTAACTTTGATTTGCAATTGTAAAGATGGATTCAGCGAATTTCTAATTTAAAAGTAAAGTTCTAAAGATCCATTTTCATTAATTTATGCACGATGTAAATAGTCTGAGACGTTAACAGTATACAATGCATAAATATTTTCTTTAAATCTCCAACAAGAAAGTTAAAATTGTTATTACTAACAAGATTTAAATGGATACCAGGTGAAATTCTGAAATAGAAAATACTGCCAAATTATGCAAAAAAGTAACTACGCTAATGGATAATACTTTGATAAAAAGACCGCAGCTTTTGAGTAGGTTTTTAATTCGAGATGCTTTTACGTATTCAGTTCATCTGAGTTAAACTTTTCTCCATTCGCTTTTTTACTTACACATTTCTAGAGAACATCAGATAAAACATGGTTCAAAAATATACATCAAATACTTTCCATCGTATGTGCTTTTTTTAAAGTCAACATCTTTAGTTTCACTATTCTTTAGACAATTATTTTCATCTTTGTTTTGAATTCAATCCATATTTTAATAGTTGCTATTTTAAGTAAGTGTTGAAATCCATTTTTAAATTTAACTATTTATCTACTTTCACAACTAATTTTTACGTATGTTTTATTTTTATAATCTTTTTATGGTGTTAAATAAATAGCTTTAACTCTTAGAGAAATTTAGTTTGCCTAAAAAGTGAACAAAGCTCCTACAGAGTTCTAAATATTCATGGTCAATTAACACCAGCAAGCAACAACATAACCCGTTAGTAATTTATCCTTGTCCTGTACAAAAAGTTTTTGTTACAAAACATAGTTTTTTTAAGGTTCATTAAGACCGTATTTGAATTTTAATTAATACGGTATATCTACTAATTATCGCAGGATTAACATGTTCTGAGGAAAATTACGGTACCCCTTTGTAGAGTAACTACGTTAACTTTTAATTAGTCTGAATTTTATTCATTCGTCGCACACTGTCTATACTTTTAGAATTCTCGGCGGGAGAGAAAAAATACTCAGAAAGTCCTCGTATTTTCCCCAAGTAATAAAGTAGTAAATCATTTAGTACCCGTAAAAGAAATAGCTTAGTAACTACGTATTTCATGATATCCTTTTAAGTCCTGTTTACCGTAAAGTTTTTGTATCGCACTCGTTGATAAGCCTTGAAGAAAAAACCCTCATCGAAGCCAAACATTCTGTCACGGGCTGCCTGCTCCTTGTTCCTTTTACAACCTGAATGGGTCACGGCTAAGATTTCCCTCCGGTCATTTGGGATTCATGGAACAGAAATTGTAGCCTCGAGACTTATAAAGGACGCTGTAGGCTTAAGAAAACTCGTCAAGTTCTAGCGATATCACTTTTCTTTGCAACTTTCCTTACAATTATCTTAAGACTAAGGAAGACAGGTGCTTTTACGGAGTCACTGATTTCAAAGGATCATCTTTGTGGAGGTAAAAAAGGAATACTAGCGAAAAGTAAGATATCTTTTCGACTACAACATTCGTTACTAAAATGGTCGGTCATAACCTTCTTCGCTAATTTCTTTCCTTCTACGATTCGTAAATATATTATACCATTAGTTGTTACTGGCTACTTTCTTACTAGGAGTATCTTTTTCATGTCGTCATTTGGTTTAATTATAAAACAGATTTTATTAAACTTCACACTTGTTTTCTAGATCCAATATTTATGTAAAGTTTAACATCTAGAAGTTTATGCATAAATTGATAACTGTTTTCAAACACAGCGTTTCTTAGAATTTATTAAGATTTAGTACGACATGATTAATTTTCGTTTTTATACCTAGTGTGAAGTAGTATATCAATCGTATTATAAATTATTTTCTGCCCATCGATCGTTACATCGCGGCTAATACCAGAATCGTAACATCGAATTGGTACGTTGTGTCAAAAGTTTTCATTTTAAACTACAGTATTAATTATCGCTTAGTTTGTGACGATCAATAAATGCGTATGCGTACCCCGCTTTCCTGACAGCGCCGGTGCAGTTGAAGGACGCCGCCGCGGCGCCAGTCTGCTTGCCTTTGTAGGGGGAGTTCATCGCGCTCTCCCCGGCCTCCTCCTCGTCTGACACCGCAGTCGTCAGCGACATGCGATCATCGTCCGATATCTACACATATATACAACACATTAATTTATAAAAAAATAAATCTCTCAATCTTAATATAGTATGTGGCATGTCGGAAACAAGGTCCATCTTGACAAGTCAAATCAAAAGCAGGGTTACTGATACGTCCAATTGGTTTATCATTTATCATTGAAATGGATCTCCGCTTTAAATATCTCACAAAAATCACTCTATCTATACTTACTAATATAATAAAGCGTAAATACCCGCTACTTTGATGTAAGATGTACTGAGACGTAAGATGTCATCAATCACAGCATATTTTTTTAATAATTCTTACTTTCATAAAAAGCTCTACTCTTACGAAACGCTTAAGGCTATATAATTTCAAGTTATTAAACTTGGAGAAAAATAAATTGGAAAAAAACCTTCATGTGGAAAAGGGAAGCAAAGTTGCTACGGTTTGTCATCATGACATGTCATTCTACATTTGCAATTAATAATTTAACACATGTATTCGTAATTTCATGCGGATGAAGCCGCACGGGAACAGTTAGTTTAATCTAAACTTCTACAAAAGTTGAGTTGAAATTGATTGTTTTGGTAGAGCAATAATTTGAGTACATTTTCTACAATACTTACTTAAGCTTACATTAATAACGATTAATTCATCCTTTGTCTTCTTGCGTGATTTTCGAGGTAAATGTGGTCATATGTCCTATTTCAAGCATTTCAGGCAATCGTTACGGTTGTGGTTTATGTTCAGAATTTCAAAATCATTGCAACCACTATAATGTGAATACTATGTAACGATACATTTTATAGCTAAATTCGTACGAAAAGTAAAAAAAAAAATTGTTAAAGTTACGGTACAGAAGTGTGTAGTTAATATCATTTGAATTGTGTGTATGAAGGAATATTATAGCAGTTCACGTAACATACGTGCATATATAAATAAACTCTTAGAATTTAATTCAAAGAGAGCTCGAAAGTTGCCACAGACTAATAAAAAGTTCTCTCGCCGCTCTCTAGAAGTTTCTTGACATGAGAAAATTTTTATTAAGCAAAGTGAAAATAAAAATATAAAGCGAAAATTGTCGTAAATTTCGGATAAGATGTCTCTGTAATACTCAGATAAAGAAATCAACTAAGTCATTTTTTAACGATGATATATGTTTTTAATCTTTATAAATAAAACGATTTTTTTTTATCAAAAAACATGTTCTAATTTTCCTAATAATTCATAAGAATTTTATTTGATAGTTTAATTGATGACATCGTATACGATTATAACGTTAGTTCAATAATTAGACTTAAATAAATAGTACACATAAGTGTTTGGTTTGTTCGTTAACATACCTTTTGCAAACAATAATGTTGGGAAATTGTACTATCGGTAACTTTGTCTACAGTATGTTATTAATTTAAAATTAGTATGTTTATTTAAAAAGATCTGGTTACAGAAGTCTATTGGATTTTATAAATGTTAGCAGACATTTATTTTCAATTCGTGTAATTTATTATGATGTCGAAGATATAAAAGATTGTACGCTAACCGCGTATAAATTCAAACATCTTGTACTGTCATGTCAAAAATGTTATATTTACAGATTTTTACATGTGTTAAACAATTCGATTGTTGACCTTATTCTAAGCACGTTTCGGCAGAGAAAATGTAATTACGAGTTATCATACGACAGCAGCCGTGCAATATATCACCTGAGCCTTTTATATCTGACGTTATTATTACTATTATTACTCGTTTCCTTAACTGGCGTACTTAATTTATTATCTTTGTACCTTTGTACATACTAATAAAAGTGACAAGGAAAGGTTATTGTGAATTTAATAAGAAGCGAAGCTAAAATAAGAACTTTTTCTTTTATTTCCGATTTCAAGAATAAATAAAAGGTATGAAAGGAAATAATTTAAGATCGAGTGTCGTAACGCGAGCAGTCTAACCTGCGTCCTTCCGAGTATTGACGTCATTACCTTTGTAACTCAAGAGTACTCCGCGCTTTGCAATATTGTCCAAGTTCTATCGTTCACTGCGAGAAATATTATATTGACAACTAACGTTCATAAATAAAAGAAATGTGCAACAAGGAGAAGTTTCTGTTTGTTTTTTCATACACTGTTTTTAACTCGTAAATAGTAAGTGAAATAATTACATGTATGCCTTTGCAATGGTCGTTTTATAAACATTTTCTGTTTTTAATTAATTTAACGGATAAAGATTTAAGATAAAAAGTTACAAATCACAATTATTACCTTTAGGATTGTGAAAATACGTTGTATCTGTGTAATTGTATGCCATTACGTAGGACAATAAAAGCTTAAAAACGTGGAAAGTGAGTGACATCTTGTAATTGCCTGGATTAAGTTTATTGCTCTGAAATATTCCACAAGTTAGTATTCGTATATTTTATAGGATGAACGTCAGACGGCGGGCCAGAAATAATCCCTACAATCCATAAAACTTCTTCGGAAATATTCTTTTCGTCGTACTTTTAATCCTTATTCTCGAAGCGGCTTCTTCATTTCCATATACGAGCATGTTTCGTGAATTTGATAAAGATTAACGGTGCCGCGTTTCGGAATCCATTTTTTACGTTTGACGATTCGGGAAAGGTTTATTTTAAGATAATAATTTCGACTCTAAGAAGATTACGTACCATTTTCATCCTTCAAGTTTTATGACATTATAGCAAAGTAAAAGTGAAAATTAATACTTATAAAGAGTAAGAATTTGAACTTAAATTCGTAAAGATACTTATAAAAGTTCTGCTCGATTAAAAATAACACAAAACACAAAGATACTTAAAATATGAAGATACATATATTCTTGTATTTATTACTAAGTTTTTTACTAATAGTGGAAACGATGTTCGTATTAAAGTTAGAAGGCTTCAAACATTTCAAAACAGTGTTTGGTCAAAGTTTCCCACAAGGGCTAGGATGCAGGGAACAAGACGTAGTAGTGACCAGAGCACGCCGCCGACACCGCCCGGATTACGGGCCCTTTAGTGAAAAGTTCAACCAAACGTGCCTTCATTGAATTCGTTCAGTTCCCGCCAGCATTCCCTTTGATCTCGGCGTCGTAAAGCTCTAAATATTTGTTGGCAGGCCGTGTCGTATTAACGTAAACGTGTTAGACTTCGTTTGTGTTGTTTGTTGATGACGATAAAATAACATGAAATAAAAGGAATCTCAGTAATATATGTATGGAATATTTTTAGACGCACACTACCTACGGCCTGATGAATGAAATATGGCTGAATACGCATTTAATCCTATTCAGTGGAGTTACGAACACCTGTGTGAAGTGTCCTAGACGAGTGTAATTAATGATATGCCCTATGTAATTAAATATAACGCAACAAATAGGAACATTTTATACAATGTTTTCACTTCACATGTTGCAAATGTTTTACAAATCCATACTAATATAAAGAGGGAAGATTTGTAGTTTTGTAGGTAATGAAATAATTCTGAAATTACTGGGCCGATTTTAAAAATCTGTGAAAAACAAAAAAAAAGGGGATTTTAAGAAATTTAAATGAAGCAACCTCATATAAACGCTTCAAACTTTTATCTTTACTTCAAATATCGAGTTCCGTTCGCAGTTTTGATGTAAAAAGTGTTGCAGAGTTATTTTAGGTGCGTATAATGTAATTTACCGGCAGCCGCGCCCTCGTTTCCACTGAAAATTGTCGCCAGCGCCAGCCCGGGAAGTGGCAACTGGCTTCTGCGCCAACGTAAAACGATACTGCACGGCTATGGAAAATGTTTTATATATCTCTAGATGTTTTGGCAAATGATTTTCTAAAGAATCATATGCATACGGTTTAGTACAAGTGTATGATATAATAAACTATTAAATGGAGATCTAATATTGGTGTAATAAAATAACCAAGAGACATTTGTAATTAAATAGCAGGTTGCAGATGTGTTGTCTACGTCAAACGGTTAGTAACATTTATTACTATTGTGCTTTGCGGCCGCGATATTAATATCGATGATATTTATATATACATTTATGTGTCGTTAATTACACGTCGAGTAATATAATTAAATAGATATGTTAGCGCTGTCTCTTGCGCTTTTGATCGCGACACAATAAAACCGCGGCGGGCGACACGACGGGTGGGCGACGGGCGCATGCGGGTCGCGTTGGCGCACTCTTGGCTCGATGGCCCTCAGCACCGCGCCGTGGCCCCTTACCTGTGCCTTTCACTACAAAAAAAAAGAAAATACATCTCATAGAAAAATTTATTATATAATATAACCGAGGTGCATAAGACGAGAGTACGACGAGGCACAAAAGCCTTCCGCTTATTTATAGAGATCCGCAGAAATTTGCACAATACGTCTCAATTTCAGTGGCAATTAAAATGAAGAGATGAATCTCGGCATCTGAACACTGCGTTTATTACGTCTAAGATATTTCGTATTTTGAGTAGAACTAGATTATTTACATTTTTATGCTAAAGGGATAAATAAATGTTTCACTACTGCGTGATATAATTACGTACGTAAGTATAAATTTTTATTAATTTGCTTATTGAACAAATAGTTTATGATTATTGAAAAAGAAATAACATGCTTAAGATAAATCTAATCTGGTATAGGTTGCAGTACCTTTGGATCGGTTCGTTTGCGAGAACTCATTAATTAATCTTACTCCCTAGAGATGTACTTTGCTGCTTCGAGTAACATTATAGTACAAACATACGTATGCCACTAGTTGAAGTCGTTTGAATAGATAGTACCGACTTATTTCTCTGCAGTAGAGTACAAATAGTAAAATAGATCAGTAAGGAAACTCGAAATGCAGAATTTAAATATAAATTAGATGCGAAATATACATCTAGTAAACGAGACATGGCTTATTGTTGACTAGCTTTCGCTCGCGACTTCGTCAGTGAGAAATTAAAAAAATGCAAAAGTAAAAAGTTTTCAAGACTCCTCTATATCTAGTGCCTAATTTTATTGAGATTCGTACAGTCGTTAAGGCTACAAACACTAACAACCATCTATCT